AAGCTCATCGCAACGAACGAAGGGCGATCTCTCACTCGGAGGACGCCTTCACAGACCGCGCCGAGAGCTTCCCGAGGCAGAAATCAGACTGCGGCGTCGCAGCGGTTTCTAATACGAACAACTTAGAATGTTAGGCAATTCACGTTGAAAAAAATCGTTAAAAAAAATTAACGCAACAAAACTATTTATAGAAAAGTTGTTTTTATTACAAAAGTCATTTCTCATCTCCAGCTGCTTGGCGGGCCGCTGGCCTAACGCCCCTAGTGGACGAACCGCGCCTGGCGACTACGCAGACAGAGGCGGCCTTCTGTGAATAATTAACACTGCGTCTGAAAGCAACAAGGGCACACAGAATCCCTAAATAACCAGACACGGCGAACAAAAGTTAAAACACGTTACGACACGCGTACCACGTAGACTCATTCAGCTTCATAAGAAAGCAAGACAAAGATTCCCCGTACAACCACACGGACTGTTGGGGCAAGTGCTGTTAGCGAGGAGCACCTATTAAGAAGGCTGGCACGGCACGCGAGGGGGTGGTTGGTCAGGACCACGCAAGGCCGCCTTTGTTTTCCCAATGCTGATGTTTACACAACCGCACCAGATACTCATTTTGACTTAAACCTTTCATATTTCTGGGTCTTTCGGTAAAGTCGCGTATTTTCTTTGAACCTTTCCACGTGACTTTACCGAAAGACCCAAGAATACAGATACTCCTTTAAAGGCCGAGTCGACGTAGGGGAGGCCCGGTGCCGGTTCAGATAATCGTAAATGACATTCGGTCGTGAACGGAAATTGAACTCGGGTTGTCGGGTTTGTGTCGCAACGCGCTCATCACGACACGACCGCCCACCCCACGCACCTTCATACGTACACACATACCACACGGATACATCACGCACGCCCATAAACGTGCAAACGCACACAGCTATAAGTTCTAACCTTTTGACTCCACGGTGACATAACAAAAAATGAATCTAAAAATAAACTCCACGACACAGCCACGTGCAGCAATTACGTGAGGGCTGCCGCGTCTGGTCAAGAGGTCAGGTCAGTGATTCGGCGTTACGGTCAACGTTTCACGGCACCTGTTGCAGGGGTTAGAGGGGCTTCTTTGCTTATTTAATTACATTTGCCTCGCAAAGGCACAACACGCCAAAGCTTGCAGCAAAACAACCATAACGAGTGGATGTACAATAGATACCAGTTAATCTTTGTCTTGGATTGAGCAAGATTATACTATTTCATGAACTTGGGGACAGAGGCGATGACGGGAGGAGGGGATTCTGCCGCGGAAAGAGAAATGTTGTGCCCTGCAGCGTGGTGAGTGGGTGGGCGAGAGGGTATGGTGGTTGAAAGCAGTGCGGTTGAGACTGAACTGGTCAATCTGGTAGACCGAATCCTCAGAATCCAGGAGTCAAGTTCACGTGGCCATGCTAGCAGCGATAGAAGAGTGACAGGGAGCTCGCTGTAGGGACCACTATAGTCGTGGTTTAATTCCTCACCGGATATCGTTTCGGGTCGCCGATCGCCCACAGGAGTTGGCGCGTGACCGGTGACCATCACGGCCACAGCAAGATGATGGATACTGGATGTGGTGTGACGGTGTGGGAAATGTTTTTTTTTATGGTCACAAACCCGTAAGTGGTTTTTTTGGGGTTATATCGCGTAAATATATAACTGTCGTTAAAACCCGCCACCACCCGACACAGCCAACTAGTAAGGGTTGTCACGTAAACAGAACGTGGCCAATTCATCACTAGTACAGCACTAACCGGTGTGTTGGAGAGCCAAGCCACAACATTTACAATCTGAGTACGACGTATCGCCAGTAATTACAACTAGCTCCATCGCAGACCCGGCTGGAATGAAGCCCTGGGTACATCTGGAGTAGTCGTGTATGGAGACGGAGTCGTAGTAGGAAGCAACACGTTTTATTTATATGTTTAACAACACTCACTAGGACTTCCACCCACAACCTGTGGAGGTACAGCCTCCGGGCTATCTATCCTAGCCACTGCCCTACTCCTATAGCCCTCCGGCTGGATGGAGCTAAGGAGGCTGACCCACCGCTGGCACCGGTGGGTCTCTGACCACTGGCCCGTCCAGACCCGGCCTTCAGAAGGACGTCGGGCTGAGGGAACCTCAGGGTCCTAGCCTCTCGACCTCTGGCACCGCACTGAGCCCCGGCCCTTAGAAAGACGTCGGGGCTTGGGGTCCAGGGTCTCGTCTCCAGGTGGCTCCTAGACTTCGGCTTGAGGCGAATTGAGCTCTGCTCTCAGGAGCCCGCCTTTGTATACGATTCTCCACCGAGGGGCAGGGTTCTGAGGGATCACAGATCCCCCACAGCCCCCTCCCCTCAGGAGGGGTTCTGGCCACAGGTAGTCCAACCGATGTGTTTGTTTATCCCGCTTTCTGCCTAGGGGCAGGGTTCTGGGGGATCACACACACACACTCCACAGCCTCTACCCCTCAGGCGGGGTCTTGGTCAGGGTAATCAATGACCCCGCTCTGGTAGGTACTGTGTAGCGTGTGCGTGTTTACAGTGACCACCACACATCCATCGGGAGCCCAACAGCCAGGGCCCCGTGGAGGGCCCTCGTCACGGCTGTTAAATGTTCATTTCCTTACCAACCAGTTTTACCGCCACTCCACGCCAAATGCCAAACCGCCGCCCAGCGGTCATCGCCTTGGTTATTTCGGTTGTTTTTTTACTTTACGCAAACCAAAACACCCGCACGTCCTTTGGACGTTACCATCCGTCCCTCCCTCTAGCCAGCCACATAGCGGAACGGTTTTATCCTACAAATAGAACGACACCAAAGATGGAAAGTGATACCGAGAGTTCGTGGCCGAGTTGACGGGATGATTAGCTAGATGTACCGGTGGACTTGAACGGCGTCGGCTTCTTGGCGTCGGATGGCTCCATTCTGCCCGTTGAGGCCTGGACCTCGTCCCATCGATGACATCGTTCGCTCAAGATGTCTCCGCCTGTGTGGCCACATTGTAAAACTGGAGAACTCTTCCGCACACCGTGCCCTGCTTCCGCCCACCTGGGTGAAGAGCGGATTCTCTACCGGCTCCGTCACGGCACCGTCCGGTCGGCAGTCCGAGGGACGCGTGGGGGTCTCGTCAGATCTGTTGGTGCCACGGCCTTTTGTCGCCTCCGGGTGGGACAGTGAGTGGCTCGATTGAGGGAGTGGATAAGTCGGTGGTTGAGTGGGCGAGTGGTTGAGTGGGCGAGAGAGTGGATGAGCAAATGTGTCTATATATGTTTATAATTTGAAAACTAATTTCTTTAGAACTTTGTGTGTTTAGATAGTTGTCCTTCCACCGCGCCTCCAATTAGTGCGGTTTGTCTTGGATGTGGCCGTGCCGAGTGCATGCAGACTTCGCTCGTGGACTGGAGCAGGTGGGCCCCGTAACGGAGGAGCCACTGAAAACAAGATTCCATCGTGGGCAAAGCCGTCGATGCCACTCAGCCACGGTCAAAGTGAGATGCATTAATGGATGTGTGGGTGTGCCAGGTGTGAGCATAGCTCTGGCTGAAATCAAGCCCCGATTCCCCAAAACAAATTGTGGCAACACATCCAAGTGACGCAAACGCAGTCGTTAGTATTAGCACCAGACGACCTTTGCTTATCTAATCTTAATTTGAAGCTTTCGTGACTGCAGGAATCCATACTCTTTAGTTCTTTCGGTAAAGTCACGTAGTTTTTTATTAATCTAATGTTAATACTTATAGACCACTCTTAACCTATAATTTAGCAATCTTTGAAATAACGTAATCAGCCAGACCATGCGTTGTGTTTTGACCGACCCTCTGTGTTGCATTATATTGTTTCCAAATTTTACTAAATCTTGTTCGATTTGATGTGCTTCTCCATCTCTCTTTGTCTCCCCTACATGCGAAGGCCTCGGCACAGAGACCCTATCTCTCTGTGCTCCATACGTTGTCTCTCCTTGTGTCTCTGTGTTAACTCCCTCTACTTAGGTGTCTGTATATATCTGCGGTTCTGCGTTTCCTCTCTCTCTTAAATTTAGCTCTTCTATGCGTGATGATTGCTTGCGTTGCAATCAAAACGTCGTATGCTATTATGTAATTTTATTATTTCTTATTTCTACGTGACTTTACCGAAAAAACCAAAGAGTATTTATAGACCAATAGTCTTTGCCCTTTGACTTTTAAATTACTTCACTGCCGATGGACACACAAAACACATACGCGCGGATGGGGAGTTGCTGCTGCACGTGTTATTGTTCGGGCTGCCAAACGCTCCAGTGTCCCGATAGGGGGGCAAGGGGGCGGGGTTTGTAAAGGGGGGAGTGGGCGGGGCCCATCCGCAACATAGGCGGGGCCAACATCGGGAAAAGTGAAGCCCGCTATGGGCGAGAATAGCGGTCGAGTGAGCGTGCCTACGTAGGAGTGGCTATGTTGAAGTGGCGTGGTTGACGGAGACGAGAAGGGGGGCTGGCAGCTCACCCACGTGTCACGGTTGAGCCGGCCAGAAATGTGGCAACTTTTAGCTATTATCGGCCCAGGCAAGCGAGTTTCCCCACGTGCAAAACCAGGCAACGATTCAGGTATATGGGCCACGTGTGCGGCCGTGTGACGCCATCCGCCTTATCATGGGTTCCACAAACAACGCAAGCATCACACGAGCAAGTCAAGACAAGCATACGGTCTCTGTAGGGGGTGGAGGGAGGAGCATAGGGTGACGAGCGGTGACGGTGGTGATATGTCGTGGCCCGTGCTGATGGCAGTGGTGGCGAGTGGCGGTTGTGATGGAGCTGAAGGTGGTGTTATTGATGCTGGTCATCATGGTGTTTGATAGCTTTCGTGGTGTTGAGTGCTTATGGTGTAGTTAGAAGTTGACGATACTGGTGGTGGTGGTGATGCTGCTGCTGCTGGTGACGATGGTGTTGGTGGTCATGGTAGCGGTAATGACGGTGCAGTTAATCACGCCTGTTGCACAAAAACTCACTGCCTTTGTCAGACAAATATTTAAAAGAAAATATATTGAAGGACGATTTGAACAATGCCTCTCCTCTCTGACAGGCGAACGGTCTCGCCATTCGGAGACCGCACTTTACACTGTGGTGTCTTGAGAAAACACCGGTATAAACGTAAAGAAACCTGGACGCGCGGACAAGTCCCGAATCGACGTAAGATCAAAAGCTTTCCACTCGCAAACACCGAGTAGCTTACAAACCCTTTTTGACAGTGAAAAAAAACGCATACGCTCGTTTAAATAAAAAAATAAACGCATCAACTGGGAGACTGTGGAACTGCAGCAGTTGCCGAGTGACCTCGCTCCTCTCACGCACCACCGTTTTGCACAGAGGAGAATTTGCAAACGGAGTTGTTGTTTTTTTACAAAAACGCGGCCTTCCGGAGCCGTGGCCGTTTCTGTGACCAGTTGACGTTTTTGTTTGTGCACGCACGCGTTAACTGTACACAAGGTCAACGACGTTACGTCTCTCTCACAAACGCACGTACGCACGCACGTATGTACGCACGCACGGACGCAGAGAAAACACGTGGGTGCGGGCGGGGATTACGCGCGGCATGACCGCTCTCGTCCGTCGCGACCCAGGGATTTAATTCCACGCCAGTGGTCGAGAGTAACAACGGAGTGGCAGGTGAAGGAGGGAACCTGCCCGAGAGGATGTGTATTGCAGAAATAAAGCGACGACGTTGGCTCGCGTGCAGGAGCTAAACGGATTATTACATTGCATGATCATGAAAAATGGTAAGAGCGTGGGGAGGCCTTCATCCAGCAGCGGTTAGCTTATGGCTGCTGAAGATGATGTAGTGTGTGATGAGCCCATGTCACCCCTGCAGCCGCTAAAAGGTGCTGCCGTTTATTGCAATGTGAATAAAAAATGAAGTTATCCGAGGAACAGATCGTGCCTCTGAATGACGACATTTAATCGAATCACCCAGGTAGTGGTGGAGCAGGAGTGTGGGTTGGGGGTGAATTGTGTCGACATTGTGGCCCCGTATATAAGTTTTTTCATTGGCACATCCGAACTGAACCAGCACAGGTGATTTTCCAATGGTTTTCCATCCTGCGCCGGAAAAAAAAACTTTGACACGCTGGCCTCGATTAGATATCCCAATCTGGCTCGTGCCCAAGCAGGGCCAGTGGCAGGAGCTAATGATGAGTTAATTGCATGAGACGTTCGTCAGTATGCTGTCAGGAAAGGGCATCACCACATCTACATCTGTCTCGAACAGTTCACTGTGTGCTACATCAGTGGCAGAGCTCAGCTTCTGCACTCAGCTGGGACACAGCCCTGGCGTGGCTCGGTTGTGCAGTGGAAAAACGGTATAACAACTTCTCTGCGTGTGTGCGTGAGCGATCGTCTCCCGAGTCGAGAGAGCGTGGGGTCACACTGAGGTGGCCAGGTCAAGACGGCGGAACTTGTCGAGGTTGTAGAAGCCGGCTTTAACGATGCGACCGCCAAAGTAGCGTCCGTTCAGGTCAACGACAGCTGCCGGGGGTGGTGGGGGGGGAGCAGTCGGAGGAGGGGAAGTGTTAAACTGTTGCAAAATTACAAATTAGAAACTTGATCCACAACCTCCACAGAGATCATAGCCAAGCAATGTGGTGAAATGTAACGATCCGATTCGAGAATGTGGCCAATTTATTTTTGTCGCTTTCTTCAATCTCGATTGTGAGAGGGCGTGGTGTCACGAGAAACAGTAGTCACGCGGCTCTCGCAGAGCAGTGAGACCACCTCTCGTGCATCAGAAAACGGCCCGTGGATGCGGATATCACAAAACTACTTCCGAGATCTCTTTAAAGCGACCTCTGATCCACACCGTGGGGGGGCAAACACCTTCCCACCCACCCTTTCACAAGACTGTAATATTTGCCACACAACAGTCAAACCGATATCTTTAATTCTAAGTGCTGGAATTTAGCCAGATTAAGTGCAAAACTGATTTTAATGTGATGGGCTTTTTTGTGTGTGTGCGGTCATTTGTTGACCAGGCCAAGAGCATCGACTTACTACACTTAAGAACCCAGTTACATTGTAGATGGCTGGCACCTGAATTCAACTTCAAGACCTCAGCAGCATTGGGTCAGTGCACCGAAAATATTTATCGGCCCACCGAGCCACGCGGCCGCTAATAATAAGAACGCACCAACGGAGCAAAGGAGAAATGCGCGGGAGAGTTTCCTACAATACAATTTATTGGCCTACAACTAATTATTCGTCAGCAACAGTTTAACCGTGTCTACTGGACCACGTACGACCTGTCTCCTTGAGATGTTTAGGAAAACTTTATTGCATATTTCGCTGCCGTGGTGCTGGTGAACGTGTGGAGGAGGAGGCGGCTGATGACGTCATCGGCCTGCGAAGCTTACCTTTGATCGCCGACTCCATCCGCTCAAACTCGAGGAAAATCCGCACCGCATCATCCTCGGGGGCGCCCGGCATCTTTAGGGGGCAAAGCAATGGCACACCGAGAAGGCGCGGTTGACGCCAGGAGAACGCGACGGTGCTTACAGAAACATCCACAAAGCGAAGAAACGCTCTCACGAGTCACAGGACAAACACGACAACACCTGCTGTGCGATGTCCACTCTCCCGGATCGGAACACTCGCGCAAACGATAAGCTCGCAACAACGCTCGGAAATAACTGTTCCGAGTCACAACACCCTCCTGAAAGATGCTCTCCTGGGTCACGACAATCATGAGGCATAATACTCAACTGACAAAACTCCATACACAATGAGATATTGAAAGCGGAAAAGACTCTCGAGTCACAACACCCTGACGAGTCACAACACCCTGACGAGCAACAACACCCTGAGGAGTAACAACACCCCGACGAGTAACAACACCCTGCCGAGTCACAACACCCTGACGAGTCACAACACTTCAGTCACAACACCCTGACCAGTCACAACACCCCGACGAGTCACAACACTTCGGTCACAACACCCTAACGAGTCACAACACCCTGACGAGTCACAACACTTCAGTCACAACACCCTGACGAGTAATAACACCCTCCCGAGTCACAACACCCTGACGCGTCACAACACTCTTGACAAGACGTGACGACACAACCCCTCTCGTACGCACGGAGCTGGAGGTGGGGTTCAGCCCCGCGGCGCTCACCTCGAAGATGACACACTTGATCACCTTGCCGTACTTCTCGCACTCCTCCTTGGTCTCGCTCTCTAGGTCCTCGTCAACCTCGCCGGGGCCAACCATGTTCTGCTCACGAGAAGACGGAGCAGGGAGGTGGGGCTTCACGCGGGTTCGAGTGGGTAGCTCATCTTGAGACATTTAACTTGTGTGTGTTTTTACAACCCATTTGTCAATGCACTGGAGGATGAAGGCACTCCCCCCCCCCCCCATGCCGTAGCAGACGTGGGGGGTTGTTTGACCATACTTCACAGTGCTGGGCAGTGCGGGTTAGTGAATGGGAGGGGGGTTGGGGAAAAAACGGTTCAGATATCACTCGTTAATGAAGTTAGCTATAGCTGGGAATCGAACTTGGGTTACTGGGATTGCAGTGCAGTGCGCCAACCACTGTGCCACTGTTCCCCAAAGGGATTTAGGAGGTTTATAATGGACGGACGGTTTCAGTTAAATGCAACATCTTCCCACTGTGAACAAATCTGAAGGCATTCCAGAATTTAATAATGCACCAAGAGGCAAAGTACATTAATCTATTATCGCGAACCACTGCGTTACTGCTCCAGACCCCCGCACGCTTGTGATCATCGTCCCCTGGGCAGACGAAACAAATCAGGTGGTCACGGAACCACATCTGATTGTAGTCACCGAACCACATACCACAAAGTGTTCTTCTCAATGCTTTCTCAAGGAGGTTTAACGCCTGAGCGGACTTAAACTAAACTATTTCATTTTACCAGGTAAGGCCCACTGAGCTAGAAATCTGTTTCAGAAGTGACCTGGCACCAAATGACAGCTCAACGAAGTGGCTTGTGGAAACTTACAGCAGCCAATCACTCTAAACGCACATTGATTCTAAATGTGGAGGGAAAAAACGGAGGAGCTGGAGAAAAGCTCCAGGCGACCATGGGAAGAATATGTAAAATCCACATATACAGGCGTTAAGATCGAACCCACGACCTCCTGTAGACCAGGTGAGGTAGTTAACATTTCGCCACCGTGACTTGCTATCGGTCTCCCCTTCTTTCTGTGCGAAGCGGGGGGTTCGTGAGCACTTAGTAGAGTTTATCCAACATGATATTATCACTTCCCAACGCTGCTGCTCGTGGTGGGGGTCAGCTCGCGGGTTTCACAGTGCAGCGCACAAACCGCCGTTCTCCAATGGTAAATACAGGTTCGCGCACAGAGCTGCGAACCCAGCAACCACGAGCGAGTTTCCCGGCCACGGCCAACATCAGTGGCGAGTGAGATCTGAACCAATCTTGGGCCCCTAACCGCCCCCCCCACCACCACTTTGCCAACCCCAGTGGCTGACAGTGTGGAGGGAGGCCATCATCCAGCAGTGGATTGTACATGGCTGCCCCCGATGAGACCGACGTACCCGCAGCAGCACCACTTTGGTCGGGTTCTTCAGAATCTCCGTCAGGGGGTTTGGCTCCTGTTTTTTGGCCGATGCTGGCGATGGCGACGCCGATGCCGCCGCTGCCGCCGCAGCAGCCACCACCGTCGCAGCTTCGGCTGTGGTAAAAGCCGGGGTGCGGAGGAGCGGTGGGAGCGCACGGTACAAACAGAACGGGGAGCGGGAAGTCAGTTGCCGCACTCGAGAGGTCATTGGTGCCCGATCTCAAATACGGCTACCACCCCTAGCCAAGCCTCCCTTGGTGCCGCTAGATCCCAGTTATTGCACCGATGACACCCATCCTCTGACGTTTCATCAAGACCACATTCTGATTTTTTGTACTTCAAGGACCACTCTTCCAGGCTCATCACCGTCACCACCTGGCTTTAGGTCTTCCCCTTGGGTTGTCGACCTCTGGGTGCCACTGCAATGCCCGTCTCGGTATCCTGCCCTCCTCCATCCTGCAAAAGCGTCCCACCCATAACAACCTCCTCCTCTTCCTCGATTATCAGCTGGAATTTTGCCGGTATTAAGTTTAGTCATTGGTGACCGAGCTAATCCCATCAACTCTCGGTATACTTCTTGTTGATGGTCTACCATGTGTAGTGATCTGCAAACCAATATTTTCCTGACTCTAGTCATAACCAAACGCTAAATATAACCCTAATACATCAACGACAGATAAGCTAAGACAAAAATACCCAACTCGCTAGACTTGAGAAACCGGTTTTAATCACCGGATGCCTGAAACCCGAGTTCAAACCTCGTATCTCAACATCTCTGAAAGGTACGAGCTCCCCATCATATGCCATGCTGTTAGTAAGAAACCACATCCCTCAATAGCACGATAATCACCGTTTACAAGCTTATGAAAACAGCTGCTGACGACACTGCACAGGGTGGGGGCAGGCACTTGCACAATCACGCGCAAAGCAAACACGCGGGGCGCACGGGCGACAAAGGCGCAGCACGCTCGGCAAATACACGCTCGTTTCTAGGCAGGGGTGGTGTACGTGATCGGCTGGTTTCTTCTAATTCTTGGAGGGAAGAACTCATGACAGGCAAGGTGATGAGAGATGATCGAAGTCACGATCCATGGCGGTGGTGATAGCAGCAGCTGTGTTGCCTTTTTTTCAATCCGGTTGGACTGCTTCTAATGGCAAGAGCCTGTGCTGATTTTCCATTGGTACAGACTGGAGAGTATGCAAATGTATTTGCACGTGCACATGCAAGTGTGTATGTGTGCAAAAGTGTGCGTGCGTGTGTGCGTGTGCAGGGCATTGGGGTGACCCATACCCCTCCATGTGTGCCGTGCCAGCCTTCATAGATGCTTGATAACAGCACTTGCCCCAACAGTCTGTTCAGGATATATATGGGGGCTCTATCTTTGTATGTATTTGTATATGCATGTCTGTGGTAATGTTTGCATGCAAGCTAGTACATGCGTGCGAGGAGTAGTGTTGTAGTGGTTAGCACTGCATTGCACTACAAACCCAACTACTGGAGTCTGTTATCCGGCCATGGCTAACATCAGTGGTGAAGATCTGAACCTGTCCCAAGCCCCCCCCCCCCGCCTAGGTTGACTCGGCTTTACACGAGTACCTGGGACGGTGCATAAACAAACATTAGCACTGGAGAGAAAGAGGTCGACCGATGTGGTGCTGGTCACGGCACCCCCTTCACGTGCCTCAACAGGTGCTCGCGAACAGCACTTCCTCCCAACGGTCTGCTAAGGATATATGGGAGCTCTGTCTTTGTACGTATTTGTATACGCATGTCTGTGGATAACGCTACTCCCCACACGCATGTACTAGCTTGCATGCAAACATACACGCACGCACACACAACATTACATGCGCACACGCAAACACGTTCGCACACTCTCCAGTATGAACCAATGGAAATAACGATCCATATGGTGGATCGTTGTTTTCTGCGTTTTTGTGGTATAAATGATAAAATGGAATATTGTAAGAGTTGTTTTAATTTAAGGGCACCGGGCAAACACACTTTGCCTGCTTTAACAAATGCTCCTCAATATTATTGGTTTGGAAAGCCAACAGGCGGTCTAAATAATATTTGCATTCATATGTGGAGAGAAAGAATGGAGTTCTGCTTATATTTACTTTCTCCGGGAAGCAGATGTTCATATAAAGATTCCACCCAATGTCCTTTAGGTCATTATTTATTTTACCCCGTAGCCTAAGTGCCCGCAGGGTATTTACACAGAGTCGTTAACTTGTTTACATTTTAGTGAATTTGAATAATTGGGTTCTGGTCTGTTGACTGGATACAGTACTGAGCGATGTAAATTTAGAACACGGTCTAAATGTGACTGCATCTGGAGACGCCGTAAGTGAAGCAAGACTGGCATTATGGAAATTTGATTACTCAGCCCTGCCCTTAATTTACTCTCGACAGAAGTACACAGCACTCTCTCCAAAATGATCACTAGATGTACACAGTGTCCATAAAGGTATCATCCATTATTAAACAATTTATAATGATGCAGTAGCCTGAGAGCTAGGCCGTTATGACAGACACAACCAGCACACTCGCCCTGTCCGCACACATACACCCACTACCAAGAGAAAACACACAGATCCCCCATATAGCCTTCAACACACTGCTGGGGCAAGTGCTATTCGCGAGCACTTTCCGCACATACGCACACAACACACCCATGACACGCACACCTACCACCATACACACAACCCCCTTCTCGCGTCCCAAAGACAAAGATCCCCCCCCCTCCCGGGTCAAGTGCTGTTGAGCGAGCACCTATGAAGGCCGGCACAGCGCACGAGGGGGTGGGTGGCCAGCCCCTTGTACAGACACACGCGATTGCGCGTGTGACGCATCCTCAGTGAACTACGTCCTTGTCGTGTCCCCTGCAAGTGCCCGGCCATGTCAACCATGTCTGGGGAAACCAAAGCTGCAGCCAGCTGGCCGAATCGTCATCCCGGTCAACACGTGACTACAGTTACACCTCCTGCCCAGGCCTTAGCTGGTGCTCTAACTGTGTAAAAGTCACGTGTTCGCCGAATAATAAAAGTGAGCTCCTCACCCTCCTTGGGCACGTTGTCTCCGATGACGATCTTGCCGCCGCGCTTGCTCGTCTTCTCGACGGACAGCGCCGTGCTCAGGCCCTGCTCGTGCTTGCCCAGGCCCTGCCCCTCGCGGAAGCCGTACTTCTGCATGATCTTGTGCGCCACCGTGCCTCTGCAATGCACGCACGCACGTGCACACACGCACGCACACCCACGTACACACACACACACACACGCGTGCACGTACACCCACAAACACACCGAGACACATGAACGTAAGAAAACACAGATGTGCACACGCCGTCTAGCCTCTCTCTGTGCTATGTAGCAGGGCCATTGCCCAAAATGTCACGTGATAAAAACACATTTTATTTTAACGTCGCAGTGTTTTTGAAGAACGTTGTGAGTTTTTTTTTTAACACGTGCACAAACAGGTGTAAAGTGGGCATGTGACGAATCATCAATGAGTTAATGCTTTGCAACTAACGACGAAGCCAATTATGCATTCGCTCTGTTCATCTGTTCGTAAGTGGGGGGGGGGACACCATCATTCTCATATATATGATCCAATAGGAACATAACTTTAGTACAGAGCCGTGTTGCATTTAAAGCGGAGGAAAATTCATCACATTCTGGTGTGACGTCAGTAAAAAGGGACTTAGTGGGTTCAAGTAGGAAGGGGAGGGGGTAGGTCGGAGGGAGCGATGGACCATATGTATAGGTCGGAGGGAGCGATGGACCATATGTATGTGAGCAAGTTGAACTTCTTTCGCACTGTACGTAGTCAACCACACTAATCGGAGGTGCAGGGGAAGGAGAGGTTAGAGAGGGAGTCCAAATGATTTCAGGGGTAAGAGGGAGTGCGGGACATTCGGGGATGGTAAAGCAGTTGCCAGCAACCAGAAGGACCAGAAAAATCAGGAGGAGCTGGAGGATCAGGAGGAGGAAGACCAGGATGAGGACTAGGAAGAGGATCAGGAGGACGAGAATGAGAAAATAGGACCAGGAGCACCAGGAGATGGAGGATCAGGTAGAGGAGGATCAGGAAGAGGATCAGGAAGAGGATCAGGAAGAGGAGGATCAGGAGGTAGAGGGTCAGGAGGCCGACCAGGAGGACGAGGTGTGAGAGAGCTCACCCCATGTTGGAGATGAAGGAGCTGGAGCCACCAGGTGGGGAGCGCGGCCTCTCGCCCGAGTCCTCGTAGTTGGGGGGAGGGATGGCCGCTTTACCCGACATCCGCCCGCGTTTGATCTCATCGTCAGGAGCCACTGTGTATGAGTCGGGGGGGAGGGGGGCATGCGAAGACACACAGGTCAGGTGTGCATTTACACACACAAACAGAAAGAAACTCGCCGTAATAGCAAGCACCTATAGCGGCGTGCGTGGGGCTGTCACGTATAAGTGTATACGCAAAAGTGGCTCCCAGCTCAAACAAGCATTGGTCAGATCGAACAGTGCGTGTAGAAATGGATTATTTACCATTCATGTATGCAAATTAATACAACTAAACTGAAACTATAAAATTCTAATTATACGATTGAGATGAACAAAAAAAAGGCATCGATTCTTAAAGTTAATCGTCACCCATAATCGTGCGACATTCATCAGATCGCTCGCAAGTCTTTACACTCACATCTCACACGCACAACCCAGCGCACGCATCACCCTCGGAAGAATCTATTTCCATTGTGGAGATGATGCATCAATATCCAACCGCAGTACCGTCCGGATTATTAGATGTAAGACGAACCCCAAACTTGTCCCAGGTGTCAATAAAGTTACACAAATCTGGTCACACGCACACACAGACACACGCCTGGATTGTAAGACATACCGCCAACTATCGTTGCTTCCGGATAATACGGTATTTATCTTATCCACTGGGAATTAATATGGTTTAATACCAGTGCATTAAAGATTGCACCATCAATTTCCCCCCTGCCAAATATCATCATCAGCCATTCTCAATCCACTGCTTGATAGAAAGATGATGCTCATAACACAGCGGTGTCACGTTGCACGGCAGCACGCACGCACACACACACATGCACGCACACACACACACACACACGCCTGGCGGACCCCGGCCCCAAGGCCTCGGACGCAATGTGATAGCACAACATTAATAATACATGCGGCTCGCGGCACCTCCTCGTGTGCGGTCTCTAAAAATACGACGCATTGTCAACGATTACGGAGATGAAATTCGATCCATCGGTGTCGGGGGAGGACTCGGGAGAGCTGGGTCTTGTCAGCCAGTGCGCTCTGTCCGTCTGGCGATGTTTGTGCGTCTGCGTTCGCTAAAAGCGGAGTAGTACCGGCTGGAGTAGTACCGGCTGGAGTAGTCCCTTCCCCGCTGTGCCGGGGGTCCCCTTACCACGTAGGGTCAGCGGGTCGCACGGCGACAAAACGTCCTTGCGTGCGTGAAAGTTACACTGGCGGGCAGAGAGCCCATTGCGTAAAGATTTATCGCGACTTGACGAGGACGTGGGGGCTTGCGTTTCCTGACGGAATGATACTACTGATGGTGTCATCACCACACCATGCCTGTGTCCATAAGATGATATGACATTATCCTAGCCCTTTAGCTGTGGGGCCCTAGGTTCGATTGGAACGAGCAAAGCTATAAACACAAGAAAACACGCTGTCACGTGGAGAAATAGCAACATTTATAGTTTGAGTTTTTTGACATCCAATGCCCCGATGCAGTTCATGATTATCATCCCGGGGGAGATTGAAGCCAGGAGGTGCAAGCGTTGGGTCGGCTGAGGCTCTAAACAGGTCCCTGCAGGGTGGGCTGGTAGGACAAGTCTCTGCGCTGTCTATTGCTGATTTTACACCCAACAGCACGAGATTTCACTTCGTTAAAGTATTGAAAGGGGACGGACGGACGGATGGACACATTAATCTATTGCAGGCTGGTACACTCAGTTTACAACTTCGTTCCTACCAGTATAATGGCAACCTATATGTCGGCCTCCCTTGTAAACAGGGGCGGAGCCAGGATTTTCAGCCCGGGGTGACATTCAACAAATTTTAATTTCAAGAATGATTAGAGAGTCAGGCTGTTGAACTAGACGCCATCGGTTGGCGACACACTCTGACAATGCAGTTGCACGGAGTCCGCCAGACCGAGTGTCGTACACTTATATGCAGAATGTTTCAGATTTTCGATTTTTTATTTTTTTTCGGGGGTGACAATTGTCTACCCTGTCACCCCCCTGGCACCGCCCCTGCTTGTAAACATTTATATTTTCACAATTTAAGGAAAAAGAACCATCATACTTCATACGAGGTTACTTATTGTGATGGTACTCTTTGGAATTATCCAAAATGTCCTTTGGGGGAGGATTTCCCAGTCTCATCTGAAAATTGGGAAGATCCCCAATCCACGAGATTGTAGTCGAACTCACGGGCCATAAGCACAGTCGAATCCTCATGCGAGGCATTTGCAGGAGACAAAGAGAGCAGTTAAATAACGGCACAGAATGGCATGGGACTCACAGTCTTTGTCCCTCTCCATGAGCGATGATGGTGGCGCGATGGCAGCTCCCATTGTGCCTGGAACCACATCACCGATAAATTGCATCAGTGCTGGATGTGAATATAACTGTGGCTGCAGTGGTGACATGAACCCATCACATACAAATAATGTTTAATCGATTATAAAGACATTATTACACAGGTGGTACCTACGCGTGCCTTACGTGAGGTCAGTAATAGATATTAATCGATATATCAATGCCTCGTACCACATCTTTCACACACCACGAGCCTGTGTGACGGCACCGTATGACCAACTTCCACTGCAGTATACCCCACGCTATATATATGGGAGTGACTGATATAACACCATATATATTTTATTATTTTGTTGTTTCTCTTCAACGTGACTTTACCGAAAAAACTAAGAATATGAATTACTGCAGTCACGAAAGCTTTAAATCAAAATGATATAACACCGTCGCTCAATATCATTGGTCGACCGATGTTGTTAAACATCCAGGAGCAACGACGAGAGGCATCACCTCGTTTGCGTTTCTCCACCTCGTACTCCTCCTCGTCGTCCGACTCGGGTCGCCGTGACATGCCGCTCGCCTCGTGACGCTCCTTCCGCCTCCTGCCGTGTGAACGCAAGCAGTTAGACACAGTTACACACCTAGTCGTACATACCAAACGTCCAATCACATGCAAATAATAAGTGCGAGGATGATCGGAGTTCGCGTGATGGTTTATGCTCCTTGATGAGATCAGCAAGACATTGAGGTTCACTTGTGGCAAGCACCCTGTGTGCAATGATCGCGACCTTACAACGTATTCGTTCGGCAACCAGAAGCCTATGCAGCTCCGCGATCACTGGACGAACGTGCTCGGAAAACTTATTGGCAAGTGCTGTTAGCGAGTACCTACGATGGCCCACATGGCACACTAGCAGGTGGTGTCGCCATCACAATGCCAGGACGCCTTTAACCATTCAGTGCCAATGCTCACCCACACCAGGCACTAATTTAAGGCTGAGTAGGGGAGACCCAGCATCCGTTTCAGATGTCATTTATGTTGCCCACAAGCGGGAATCAAACTCGGGTAGCCACAGCTTGTAGCGCAGTGTATCTACTACTACTACAACACGACTCCTTCCCACACACACTTGGCGCGTCACTGGCACTCACTTCTCCCTGTCGTCTATCTCCTTCTGCCGCTCGTGCTCACGCTGACGTTGTCGGTCCTCCCGCTGCCGCTTCACCACCTTGTCGTAGTCGTTGGGGTACATCGGGTCGTACTCATCCGCCACGGGGATCAGCATCTCCCCCATGAAGGCCATCTGTGCGGCGCCGGACTCCTGCTCAACCCAGAGAAGAGCGCAGATATTAGCGCAGCGTTGAGGAACCTACAGCCAATGGGTCAGATACGACCCGCTACATCATTTCGTAAAACGGCCACAATTTAATTTCATACGACCCTCGATCATTTCTATTTCCGCCGCGAACAGTGGCGGTAAACGGTTTACAGGTGGCACCACCTTGGGTGTGGTGGCGACTGGCGGAGGCGGCGGCGGCTCAGGGAAACTCGTCCGCTCCTCTGGACCCGAGTTGCGCTTGAGGTCAACCACAGGTGCCAGCACTGTGCTCTGCTTGCCCCTCTGGTTCTACCGAGAAAACAAAAAACAAAGCAGTTACGTGAAAGTGTTATTGGCATTCCAATCATTATCATCACAGCCATGATCAAGCCATCCATCAATCTATAATTGTGTTAAGCTATAGAATATATTGTCCCGAGTGTGTAAAATCCAGAGTGGTGTTAAAATATACATGGAGTGAATGAGCTCATGGGCACGATAGGTGGATTATTAAATGAAAAGATCATGAGAGATGGCAGCGGTTTGGGGACGCCTTCATCCAGCAGTGGAACGACCATGATTAATTATGATGACGAGTTTGTTCAAGTCTTAGACCGTAACTAACTTGAGGGTTGGGGTGGAGTAGTGGGTTGTTACCTTGGCCTGTGTGAGCGCCGCCTTCTTAACCTGCAGCTGCGACTGCAGGAGCTTGAAGTTCTTGGACCATCCCTCTGTCTTGGAGTCGCTCCTCTCCACGCGAAGATCATCGTACAGCGACATCGTCGCGCCCTCCTCGCTGCAGCGACAAGTTGGGGGGGGGGGTAGGATTCGCTTTCAGACAACTGCCACAGATACTCAGAATATTTAATGATTCGAGGTGCAAACGCTCGTTCAGAGTAAAGCGGCTCAGAAAGGCCCAAGTTCAAGGAAAAGGGTGCGTTATGCATGTCCGTTGAACCTCTTTCGCAACCGTACGTAGCCATACTCTTTGGTTCTTTCGGTAAAGTCACGTAGGTAAAAATAAATTATAAAGTTAATCAAATCACGACGTTTCGGAGGCAACACAAGCTTCCGTCATGTGTAACTAGCACAGCAAAATAATCTCCGATTACAAAATAGCTCTCTTTACAGTAATTTTGCTGTGCTAGTTACACCTGATGACGGACGCTTGTGTTGCCTCCGAAACGTCGTGATTTGATTAACTTTATTTTTTATTTTTACCTACGTGACTTTACCGAAAGAACCAAAGAGTATGGATCATTGCAGTCACGAAAACTTCAAATCTAGAATTAACGTACGTAGCTAATCGGAGGTACAGGGGAAGGGCAACTAAACACAAAAAACATGTATTGGGCGCTTGATTAAACGCCTCAGCATCTCAAATCGCCTTACAGCAATTCTCATTTCAACCATTCCAATGCCTTGCGGGAGTCTAGGAGCCAAGGGGTCCCCCCAGTGGAAAATATCCCTACGTGGCACAAGAAGTATACTGCACGGGCCTGAAAATGCTCTAAACACGCTTCAATTAAGAACTATCAAGGCTTAAATCGTTGTCACGTAACAATCGCCATGACGTAGCGACGCTTATGCCAGGCTAGGTGCACTGCGAGGTCACGCGGAGTGTGAGAAGGTTCACTGCAGGGTGTCAGGGGACTGAGAAGACTGGCCGATGCACCACCTGTGCCAGTGTGTACACACGCGAACACACACGTGTACCACAACCCGCTATTCGCCACGAAGTGACCGTGACATCACCACGGCGCCTGTGCCAGACCAGGTGCACTTCGAGCCCACGTTAAGTGTCAAAGTGCTTGCTACTGACAGGAGGTCTCGGGGCAGACCCAGCAGGTGCCATGGGTTGACCGACTGAGACGACTGCTAGATGCACCAGCTGTACCCCCTACTGTACACACACAATCGTCCTAACGGTGGCCACTCACCACTGAATGGCGGTGGCGTCACCGCGGCGACAGTGCCAGGCTAGGTGTACTTTGCACAATTACTTTGCACAGGCACATTAAGGTGCCAAGTACTTGTACGCACACGCGTACGTACACACGCGTAAATACTCACGCGTAAACACTCACGCGCGCGCACAACCCGCTACCCCCCTCATCGTTCGTCTCAATGAGACTCGGCACTCGCCTGGGTGAAGCCTGGCCTAGGCCCCGGGCGAATCCTCGCTTCGCTCCAAGCCCGCGCACTTCGCTCAGCGCCTCCCCGTGCCGCTTCCCGCTCGCCCGGGGGCGGTAAGCCGCGCTGCCGCCGCCGCTGTTGCTGCTGCCGCGCGCGTTGCGCCCACCGCGGCGCTGCGACTGTCAGCTCGAGTCGACTCTTCACGAGCGGAACCCCCACACTTAAACTGGCGCGGACGAAGCGTGGATTTCATACAACGCACAAGCGATCGCGTGGAGACAAAGCCGCGCGATTGGTCGGCGCCGTTGCCCACGTGACAGACGCCAGCCAATCCAGTCGGCGAGTTCGCCGTCGCCGATGTGCAGTGGGGATTTGCAACGCGGACGAATGTTACGGGAAGCGACGAGGCGCGTGCGCGCGTCGAGCGAAACGCGATTTGTAAATGATCCAAATGCCAATGAGAAAATCTTAAAAACTTTCGTGACTCCAGGAATTCATATTCTTTGGGTCTTTCGGTAAAGTCACGTAGATAGAAAAATAATATCTACGTGACTTTATCGAAAGACCCAAAGAATATGAATTCCTGCAGTCAGGGAAAGCTTTAAGTCAAGATTTAACCGCCTCTACGGGGAGGGTTTCCACACAACCATTCGATCTTTTAACAGACTCCGAGACAAGAAAGCTCATCTGATCGAGTCGCTCACTTCTCTGAAGCGATGCCGCGACACCAAGGTAATACCGATCGCCTTTATTTTTGTTTGCATTCTGACCACAAGTATTGTGATTAATGCTGACATATTAATTAGCAGTGGTATTCCTAGCTCTGCGATCTTAAATTTACTTGCAAATTCCATCTCTAGCCCCGCTCACTTACCCTTGGGTTGTATCCATCTCAAACCTATATAACCTTTGGCTTGCAGTAGCTATCTCGCTATATTTCTTCCTGCCTCAGCACAGTCCACCTTGCTGTATTTTTCAACGGTTTTACTAAACTTGATTCCCGTGTCGTCAAATCTTGTGATCAAAATTTAGTCAACTTCCGGTTGTCCAATCAATTGCAAAATTTGGCACACGTACTCAGATCCAGTGACAATGCGTGCCTGTATCAAAATCTGAATCAATTGATAATTTAATGGGCTACTATGAAGCAATTTACATTTTGTATGGACGCCTTATTATTTATATATATTTGCTGGTAAAAAAAACTCGAATCGCCTCGCCCAAGAAGCAGGCGCCACGTGTCTCAGGCGCGCGTCAACGAGCTACGGAAGTGAACAGGTTCTCCTGCGGAGGGTGCTGGTAGGAACGTCGGGTTGCTCGGTCAATGGCCAGGGTCAACAACGGCGGCACCATCACGTGGTGGATTCCGCACAATGTGCCCCCACTGTGAGGGCGGGCACACAAGCCGGCGTGAGTAGGTTCAACGTTTTGAGTTTTTCACCTGAAGACGATTGCTTGTGTCGCGATCGAAACGTCGTGATTTTTTAAAATAATTATTTTTATATCTACGTGACTTTACCGAAAGACCCAAAGAATATGAATACCAATGAGAAACTTTTTTGCAATTAACTACACGCGGTACTTGTGGTGAACACGACAAACAAAACGTTCTCTGATAAACATTTTTTCATAAGAAAAAACTATTCTTATTTTTTCATTAAAAAACTATTTTTATTTTTTCATAAAAAAAAATTATTTTATCATAAAAAACCTAATCTTATGTTTTCATAAAAAACTTATTTTTTCATATCTTGATACTGTCAAGGAGGTCCCATTTTATAAATGATCCATCTATAACAAGAGCAGGACAATGTATCCTTCCTATAAGGGTCTATCCACATAAAAGCCTTGCTTCAACACATCGGCCACCCGGCCTTCTGGGAGTGCATACTTTCAGATGCATTGAAAGCACTCCGACTAGCACGGTTGGCTACGTATGGTGCGAAAGAAGTTCAACATTTATTGATTTAAGACAAAAGTCGTTTAGACATTAACATACCTGTCAACCCATACGATTTACCCGTATTGTTGTACATTGAAATTAAGTGTTTTAAGTCCATACGACGTATAGCCGTTTCAATACGGGCAAACATTTTTTGTCCGTTTCCCCCTTGTGGTGGGACTTTGTAGGATGAACGTTGATATTTATAAGGGCACGGGGTGACCAATAAGGTCAGAATTATTCTGTAATAAGGTAGGGCACTGATAAGGAGTTGACAGGTATGTGGTGGTGAGTGTACTAGTGGTGATTGTGTTTCTCCCTTGTGATAGGACTTTGTAGGATGAACGTTGATATTTATAAGGGCACGGGGTGACCAATAAGGTCTGAATTGTTCTGTAATGAGGTAGGGCACTGATAAGGGGTTGACAGGTATGTGGTGGTGAGTGTACTAGTGGTGATTGTCTGTTTCTCCCTTGTGATAGGACTTTGTAGGATGAACGTTGATATTTATAAGAGCACGGGGTGACTAATAAGGTCTGAATTGTTCTGTAATAAGGTAGGGCACTGATACGGGGTTGACAGGTATGTGGTGGTGAGTGTACTAGTGGTGATTGTCTGTTTCTCCCTTGTGATGGGACTTTGTAGGATGAACGTTGATATTTATAAGGGCACAGGATGCTGACCAAGATCTGAATGTCTGTGATAAGAAGGCACTGACAAGGGTTGGACAGGCGTGAATTCAGTCTCATCAGAATTATCGAAACCAGTCCAAAATTTGCTCGACTTGAACCAGTGCTGCTGAAATGATGCACTCCCATAAAGGCTAATGGATTGTGTAAGCGTACTTGTGTTGTGAAAATCCGGATATAGAGACATTTTGTGTACTTATGGTATTTCTACCCTCCACAACAACGTAATTTCTGATTTAGAGTTACACACAATTTAATTATTTGTTCGTAATATAGCAAATTACGATTGGTCGATTGACACCACATTGGACGCGACCTTTATTTTGGTCAGTGTAACTTTATCCGCGTATTTGTCAAGTTTCTGACATCGTTTCTTGTAGTTTTCAAACACGAGGAACACAACAACGCCCACAAGATGATGAATAATGAACATCTTCATATTTTTATTTTTGTTTCCATTACCAATGTCCTTCATGGTATTATTTTTGTATACAAATTTTCCCATAAAATGCAACAAAAAAACGCTCACGGTTAATAAACGCTGACACACACGCAATAACAATAAACACACACATTACCTTAAACACAACCGCAGATATTGGTCCAAACACGGACATGTTAAACACGAGGTCACACATACGAGGAGACGATTTAGCAGGTACGGGTACGCGTGTATGTACCACACAAAGATAAATATCCCCCGTATAGCCGTCAAATACTGCTGGGGAAAGAGCTGTTAGCGAGCATTCTATTAAGGGTGGTACAGCGCAGGGGGGAGTTTGTCAATAACCACGCCCGGCTCTTTGTCTCCTCGGCTACTCCTTTGAGGCTGAGTTGACCTAGGGGAGGCCGGGGGTCGGTTCAAATATTCGCCAATGTAGTTTGGTGGCGAGCGGGAATTGAACTCGTGTCGCCAGGTTCGGAGCGGAGTGCACAAACCCAATGTGCCCGCCACTGCGTTTGTTATGGACCACACGCACTCAACGCAGGTGGAGCACGGTCCCTTCAAATATTAACACAGCGACAACTCCCCGGCACGGTACGGCAGTGGAATATTTACTGCGTGAGCGGGAAGTAGCATTCAAATTATCACGCACACCCAGAAGGCATGATGACCACATGTGACCCACGCAACTGCCTGCGCCTGTATACGCAGGCACACCTGTACCGCTCACAAATACGAAGATTAATCTCCCGAACAGTCACTGTTGGGGCGAGTGATGTTAGCGAGCACCTATTACGAATGACACAGCGCACGAGTCGGTGGTGTGGCCATAGGGTTGCGCCCCCCCCCCCCCTCCCAACATAGAGACACAACCTGGACATTTATCAGTCAGCCAGCGTGTACTAAAACCGTGAAGTTCACTGTTATAAAGTTCAACACAATACCAAAAGATCTCGGTACAAATCAATCTGTCACCCGAAGGATGCCAATTTTCGGGACTGTTAAACGCAGATAGCTGGCAAACCCTATGTGGCCAACAGATCCATGCCCATGATACAGACCAATGCCCATAATACAGACCCATGCCCGCTCACCTTTCGTCTCCCCAGTGCCACTTCGTATATGGCCAATGCACAAAATCCGTGGCAAGTGGTATCCAGTCTCGAACTGGCTCTGCCCTTTATCGGCTCAGCCTTAAATGGGTCCATGGTGCAGTGTGTAAACATCAGCTTTGGGGAGACAAAGATGACCGGGCATGGCGACTGCTACCCCCGACCACACCATGCCAGTCTCTGAGTCTTGCTCAATGAGGCCATGCAACACTACACACCCAACACCACACACAAACCCAACACGCAACGCGTGCATTTGGCAAGGAATGTCTAAAAATACACGGGTGTTGATGTTTGAATTGACCGTAGGAAATGTTGATCGATTTTGATCTGTTTTTCCACATTATCATTGGGGTTTTTTTTTTACAAATATGCCCCCGGTGCAGCCTGGCAGGAACACCTGTCCGAATATGAAGAACTACTGCTGCCGTGTCGTCACCTCTAGCCCGAGGATAGGAAATGCGATCGGAGACGGAGATAGGTGGCTTTTTTCGACCTAGTTAACATCTCGCTGTGGTGGCAAGATGTTAACAACTTCGCTTGGTATACAGGAGATTGTGGGTTTGATCTCGACCCTGACGCCTGCATATTTGGAGTTTGCACGTCTTATTTCCCCGTGGTCGCGTGGGTTTTTCTACGGGCCCTCCAGTTTCTCCTTCCACATTTATAAACATGTATTTAGAATATATGGCTGCGATAAATTTCCACATAAGCCACGTCCGTTGAGCTATCATTTGCGATAGCCAGGTCGCTTCTGAAAAAGAGTTACATAGCTCTGTGGGGCTTACCTGATAAATAAAAAGTTTCGTTTTATGGTTTAGTTTTAGATGACGCAAGGGAACTGGCAAGACCCCGGTGAGATTCATATTCACCCCATCACATTGTGGTTGAACACTGGGGTGGACTCTTAAAACTCAGCCTGAACGGTTCGTCGAGTAAAAAAAATACAAGCATAGGTTTTCGCACGACATACATTTTCACGATATGATATCAAATATTACGATATCGGCTTTAAATAACTTTGTAACTGTATTAATGTATCGTTTTTTTGTGATTTTGTCACTTTCAGAACAAATAAAAATAGCATTTCCATCATAAGTGTGTACAACCTAAAACGCATACAATGCACACACGCTTTTAAAATGTTACGTATTATGCTCATGTACCTCATTTACCTGGGATAGCTTTTTTGCCGAGTCTCTATTCAGGAGTGTTCTGCCAAGTTTTTGCAGTAGGGGGCAGTGATTGCTAAACTGAATATAGTATTTCAATTGAGTAACGTGCAGTAATTTTTGCAAATTTCGACCCACGATGCGAGTACACAACGGCCCCCCCCCTGTTGCGAACGACATCACGAGGTCTTCAGTGTCCACTGTGAAGCAGACAGCGCGCAGGGTGTTATTACGGTTCATGCACCCGCTGCAATAACCAGGGCGGCTGCTGCATTCGAACCGTGAAAGTCTGCTAAAAAGCGGGGGGGGGGGGGGGGGGGCGCATGCGCAACCACGACCCAAAATCAAAGCAACACGCCATTAGCCACTCCGAAACAGTCTCGTGAAGCACTACCTGAATTTGTAATTGCTATTTACTCTGAAATGTTTATTTAAATTTTGTCTGCCACAATCACCTTGATGTTCTCAATGGGGACGGTAGGATTACCAAGGACCTTGTATCATGCGATATGTCGTAGCATTGCCATATCGCGGCAGCCCTAGATAAAATAGACATCAAGGGACCGTGTTGGCAGAAGAGCGTTCACTAGGGGCAATATCACCTCGCCTTTCTTTTCATTAACCATGCCAAGTAGTTTAAATAAAAAAAGTATACAAAATAAGCTCACGTTTGGGGAAGCGGTCCTTTCTTCTTGGCAGTGAGAAAGAACTGGCAGAATATATTGTGATAGTCAGATATTTTTTAAAGAATACTTTGATGCCTTAAAATTACTGAAATAAGTAGACAAAACACTCCTAAGACAATGGAAGTGGCCAAACATCCCTATGCAGGACTCACATAAATTATAGTTAAACCTTGTTCTTCAAAAGTCTCAATTTTCACGGCCTAAACCCCCTGTTGATGCAATGTCTCATTTTCCACACGAACGCTGACCCTATTCATTTTCCAACGAACCCTAAACCTGTTCAGTCTCACAATGAACGATACAAAGTGGTTCAACCTCTCCATACAGACAGGACCTGGAGCCAAGAAACACCGCATGCTTGATCCTCAACGACGCCAACAACAGCTGGCAGCGGGGCCGCTGGCGCCGCAGCCAGACATAGGTGGCGCTGAGGTCCAGCCGCATGTGTCGACATTCGGTGCAAGCGTTACTCCTGCCGTTCCTGCTGCATTTGCGCCGGGCGCAGAAGCGACGACTTGCGACGTGATCGTTCTCGTGCTGCCACCATGTTGTCAAAGACGGCGATATCTCACGGTCAGCAAAGACGTTCGGCTTACACCGGCGCTGCCAAACTCAGCGCCATGAGCAACCAGAACAACCAGAATGATGGGGATGGCTGAATAATGACGATGGCAGCGATGTCCAGGCAGCAGCGCCAGCTACATCGACCCCGGAACAGATCCGAGCACCCGCCTGCCCGATGGTCCCTCTCGCCAGATCCTGTGCAGTGGTGGCAGCGGTAGTGGCAGCGAGAATGATGGTGGCCACGAGGATGGCGGTGGTGGTGGGAGGCGTGGTGGTGGTGCTAGCAGTGGAATGGTGGTAAGGATAGTGGTCGTGGAGGGAAGTTGGGTAGTGATAGAGGGGAGGTGGCAGCCAGCACCAGCGACAATTGCGGTGGCAGCAAGGACGGTGGTGGTGGTAGTAGTAGCGGAGGGGGATAGGGTCAGAGAGGATAGATATTGTGAGAGATAGAGGTGGCGGTGGGTGGAAAGAGAGGTGGGATGGTGGCGGATGTGGTAGCGACAATGGCAGTGGTGACGAGGATGGTGGTGGCGCTGGAGGGAGAAAGGGTTGGAGGGGACAGATGAGGCGGCGACGGTGACAGCGGTGGTGGCAGTGTGGGACGGCGATCGGAGGGGATGCACTTGGAGGGGGGGGGGGGGGGCGGCGTCAGCGTGCATTAGTCGCAGTCGAGCGAGTGCGCCTGCCGGATGTTCAGGGCGTCGCGCAGCATGATGTCGCGCAGGCGCCAGAGCGCGTGCGCCAGGCTGTTGTGCGCCCCCTTGCCCTGCAGCCAGTGCGTGGGCAGGCGCGCTTCCTGCTCGCGGCTCAGGGGGACATCCTCCCGTCGCGCTGCACCGGCAACGAGGGAGGGGTGCCGGATGAAGGTCGGGGGGGTCAAGAGTCACGGGGAGTCAGCGGCAAGCAAAGGGCAAGGGGCGGACGGAGAGGTCAGGGGGCGCCCACCAGCAAGGGAGGGCAGGAAGTAGAGGTCGTAGGGGTGGAAGTTATTCAGAGGCAAGACAGGGGAATGGGGATGTGGGAAGAAGGGGGGGGGGAAGGGGGGGGGAACCAAAATGTTGAAATAAGGTTATGAATGCAAACGTTGGCAGAATTAAATAATAAAAATAGGCACGTCTTACAACTGTAATTAAATCAAAGTGAATATACAATGCAATAACAAAAAGTTACATTTAAAATAGGAATGAAAATTTATTGAAAAAAAATTTGCAACAAAAAACCCTCCTTTGGAAGATACTTCAGTGGAAAATTAAATGAATGCAAATGACACAATAGAAAAAGCCAAATCGGACAAAAAACAAGTCCGTACATGAAGCCACTGTTGCTACAGCAGAGAGATCGGCAAAACCATCACCATAATCGCGGTGGTGTGTTCACCTAACCAACTGATAAAATCCAAAGAAAATCGGTATGGTTGACTGATGCTCCTAAATGCAGATTCACTCCAGTTGCTCTGCTGTTCAGTCACTGCTTCGTCACTCTTTTAACTGCTACTACCACGTTCAGTGTTCCCATGAACCTCAAGCCCTGACAGCTTAATAAATTTCAAGCACTCGTTCTGCCAGAATGACTATTTATATGAGGCCCCTCAGCCACCCCAAAATCTCAAAAGCCCCCCACATACCGGCAAGCGTCTACTCCCACCGGCTGACGGTGGGGCACTCATTGAGGTTCTTGTTGAAGGATTATCCTTTTAACGCTGGCTTTTTATCACCAGTATAGGAAATCCTTTCATCCATATGGCTGCTTTCCTATAGGGTGAGTCCCTAATAGCCACACAACTTTACTCTAAAGTTTCACTCATTGGATTATATTTATGAGAGTCATCATGTAGAACAGTCCAATCGACAGAGAGATTGATCGACTGACAGAAGTAGTTGATGCATTTACGCTTTCAACCTGGGTTGGACCATGCGCGGGCCTGCGCCCACGATTGTTTGTCCTTGATCTAAGATGGAAAAAGGACGCGAAATGAATGAACATTGGGCCACTGAGGCCCCACTCCCCAACCACAAACCTCCAACCCCGAGAGCCCCCACTCATTCTCATCCCTGCTCGGAGCCCCCCTACATACCGGTGACCGTCTGCTCCCACTTGCTGACGGTAGGGCACTCGTTGTTGAGGTTCTCGATGTACCGGAGGTACGCCTCCGAGTGCAGCAGGCGCTGGGGCCGGGGCGGCGCCGCCACGAACATGGGCGCCGGCGGCAGTGACGATACGGCCGCCACCGCCACCTGGGGCGCCGGGTACGGGGGGGGCGGCTGCTGAGACTGTGCACACAGTTTGGGGGGGTCGTTATTAATTAAAGAAATTTCGGGGGGAAGGGAGTAGTTAAAAATACGTCGGACGGACGCGTGTGTGTGCAGCGGCGGCGGCGGCGGAGGGATGCGCGCTCGTCAAACTTGATCGGTCTCTTTATTTAAAAGTTGTTCCGATGTGCGGCGACGTTGAAAAAGCTACGCGAGCGACTGTTTCCCGTCGTGGACGCGCAAAAACGAAGAGCGAACAAACCTTGAAAGGGCGACAACGCCGCGTCACTCTCGCGACTGCAACGTCACCTTCGCTACGTTGGCAGGTGACCCTCTCGGCCCAAGGGGAGAAAGGAGATTGCCAATGCGGCTCACACTCTAAAAAGTTGGCATACCCGTTGGGAACGTTAGCCAATCAGATACTAACGAAATGCTTATGCCTAATCCTACTAGCCACCCGGGTCATAGCGCTACCTCTAACCCTGACCACACTCGCAAACCAGACTTTGGCACCAGCTCTAACCATAACCACACTAGCCAACCAGTGTGGTTATGTGCGCGTGCATGTGTATGTATATGCATACCTGTTGGAAGCCAGCTCCTGGTGTCTGGCCTGCCCCCACTGCCCCCACTTGCTGCCCCATGGCACGTCCACCTGCTCACGGCAAACAACCACAGCCACAATGATCACACCGGCCTTTTCAAAACAAACACCACGCCGCTAACCATGCAACGCCAAATCTGCAGCCAATAAGCCTGCTGCTCTCGACTGCATAAGTACATGCCATATCTAAAATCTCTGGTGGGTGCCTTGCGCTTTCCCCATGAAGTCAAGTGGCCTAAATATATTTCAACATAACCATGATCACCACCAGTCACGGTCAATCCACTGCTGGATGAAGGCTTCTCCAAGCCACCGCTGTTTCTCCCGGCCCTGCGATGTAATAATCCACGTGGCATCTGTACATGAGCTCATTTCACCGCTCTATCTCTTCGGTGGACATAATGAAATTGTGAAGCTCCTGCTAATTTCACGTTTTGTCACAGAGGCACTGCGCACACTTCGGCACGCTACACCAATTCAACTGAGCAAGAAAAATGGCAAAACACTTTATTTGTTTTGATGTGAAAGTAAAATTTACAACATCTTACACGATTTGTGTGTAAATGCGCGAGGGCCTCGAGGTAGAGCCCAGTAATCCTGTGAGAATCATTCCATTAAAGAGCACCATCATCGTTTGCCACTACCAATCCCCTGGTGGACGAAGGCCCCCCCCCCAATGCCATCCCCATCCTTGTCCAGTGTTGCTATTATCCATCTCGCTCCTGCACACAAACCAAACTCCTCGCTCTAAATCTTGGAACAACACGAATAGGCAACTCCCGGCATCCGCGCTTTCAGATGCGCTTCTGTGGGCGTCTGGAACGCCCTTCTGATATTAGGAAGCCACTGGAACTATGCACTTTTAAATATAAATTGAAAACTCATTCCTTAAGACCTCTTTTTGTGTTTAGTTTGTTGTCCTTAACCCGTACCTCCGATTATCATGGTTGGCTACATATGGTGCAAAATAAGTTCAACGTACATACGCACATCTGGATTGAATAATTTCGCTCCGGTAAAAACACAGAACGTGACGTGGACGCAGCAGCCTTACCCGGAGTGATGGTGATGGGCTGGGGGTAAAACGGCAGCATGGGGGCTGGCGGAGCAATGAGGGGAGGGGCCCCCAGCCCCTCTATGGAGCCCTGTAGGCTGACCAGCGGGGGAGGGAAGCCCCCTATGAATCCTTCCCATCGACATGGGGTGGATGGGATGGGGGGGATGAGGCGGATGTTGTTTGGTCGGGTGTAAGATGTGGGGATGCAAATGGGGAGGAAGGAGGAACAGAGAAGGGGGGAGAACAGGGAAATGGGGGAAGGGTGAGGAGTGGCAGATGAGAGATGGCCTGCGCATGCACAGTGAGAGCGTTTGGGGTGGATAATGATGATGCTGCCCAAGCGATGTTGTTAAGGCCCCAACAGCGGTGGTGTACAACCAATTAGTACCGCTGGGGCTGTGGCTTCTGGTTCACAGACTGACGAAACGGCTGGAACATACAGTACCAGTCTGATGGTACAAGCAAAAATGTACCCCAAAATGTAATTAGCAGGGCCATTGTCCTATACGGAGTGCAACTTGTCTGCTCCGTTAACTCAAAGAGGTTCTGGGGTTATTTTCTACACTTGGGCAGCATCATAAATGCTCGATGTTACAAGTTTACAATTCCTTCCTATCAAGGATTAATGTCTCTGCTCACACTTACAATGTTTTATGTACGGGTGTATGTACGTACTTACGTATGCATGTTCGTACTCTATATGTACAGACACGTGAGGGGCGATAGGCATGACTGAAATAGAACACTGATAGTATTTATAGCATGTGTGTATACACTCGCACTTAATGCTACGATATTCAATACAGCCATCAAAAGGCCATGGGGCAATTAAGCAATTAGTTTCCAATTTATAATGGGGCGGTAGCATATCCCCAGTGGTCAGCGAGTTCGCCACTTGTTGCAGAGGTTCACGGTTTGAATCTTGTGGTCGCCCTGATTGTTACTGCGGGTAGATTAATCATATGAATAAAAACCACGAGCCATTTGCTTCACGGTGGACGTTAAAGATCCAGTGATGTCAATCGCAAGAACAGGCCATTGTGAGCTGGCGTCATGGCCTAAGTTTATAAAATCACCCACAAATTACTGAAATGGAATGTGGACAGCAATCATTGCACCCTTACTCCCAAAACTTGGTAAGACCCTTCTGAAAAAGAGTCAAGAGACTCAGTGAGGCTTTCCTGGTTAAACAAGCATCATAATATTCCAATTGTGCCATTGGCATCAAGACATGATACAGAGAGATTTCCGTTAGGAATGTTTAGAAAGCAGTGTAACAGTACCATGTGTTAGAGAATGGCCTGTGGAAGGTGACATCACAGAACTGCTTCTGAGGTCCCTTCAATTGCTTATTAATCAAGCTAGGGGCGCTGTACTTTTCCACATGCTTTGCTGTAGAGGTATTCATGTGATGGCAGTCAAACGGAAAACTTTGTAATCATAAAAGCTGTGATAAAGCAATAATTATTTGAAAAGCGAATTTAACGATTTGCGAAGTCATCATCGGTGGTGACTGGGCCGAGTTCATCAACTCCCTACGCGCGAGAATCCGGTTCGAATCATGGTTGGGCAGCCGAAACTAGAATTCAAACCCAGGTTCTCAACGGCACTGGCTCAGTGTTTCGGACCTCTTGAGCAACCCGGCAACACCTCTGCAATCAGTTACGAGACCTTCCGATCGGTCCCCACGTGCGTTAACCCGTACGTATACAATGTACACAGCCACACGTGTTATACACACAAACAAACACACACATGCGTGGCAGCACAGGGCACTGACGTTTGTTGCAGGTGGTTCAGCAGCGGACCATTAACTCGTCATGCAAAAGCCTCACGGTCCACACCACACACGATGGGATGCGGTTACGTCGCGAAGGAGTGGCGACCGCGCGGCACCACTGTGCCACAGCCGATGTTTCATGCAACCGCCAAGGGTCGGGGGAAGTTCGTGCGCAGCAATGGGGTGGTGGCGGTAGTGGTGGGGGGGATGGGGGGGTGGCGGGCGAGCAGGGGGGCTGGTCCTGACCACTTATGGCAAGGGGGAGCAGTTGTCACGTGGCGGGGAAAGTTATATTTCTGTGACACTGTTTACTCAGCAAGTGGCGCAGCCTCAATCATTTGTTGCTCGATTGGGTTGGTTTGTGTCGATCCCATCTGTTGTTGTCCATTTTCTTTCTCACTCGCTCATCGTTTAGATGCTTGCACTTTCGCGCGGTAGTTCGCAAGTTAATTTGTTCGCAATTTCATTTGTTTACTTTCCCAATCACTCTTATATTCCATCACTCACTCGTTGGTTCTATCCCAAGCACTATTGTTCACTAGTTCATTTATTTTCTAACTCATACTTTCGATTAATTAGCTTGTTCATTCATCCATTCCATATTTCATCTGCTAGTTTTCTTCTTAATTTCATTAATTTGTTCTCTTGCTCAATTGCTTGTTCACTCACTCACACATTTATTCACTCACTCATTCACTCCATCGTCCATTCGTCTGACTGCGCGTCCATTCACCCATCTGTCCGTGCGTCTATCCGTGCGTCCCTTCGTCCATCCGTTCATACCGGCGGCGGTGGGCAGCTGCTGCTGCAGCGCTCCCATAGGCGTCGGGGGCGGCACGACTCCCATGATGGCGCCCCCCGAGGGTGTGCCAGCGCGCGGCGACGCCGATGCCTGCTGCTGCTGCTGGGCGGCGCGCTCCCTTTCCTGCAGCTCCGCCTGCTTCGCCGCGCGGTCTGCACACGCGCCACGCGGGGAGGGTGCATGCGGGGGCGCCATGCGCGATCACGCACCACGCCAAATGGCGCGGCTACACGCGCTTCGCATGCCGCATGGACGCATCTCGCAAACTCAGGTGCCACGCGAAAACTAGGGGCACACGTCGTGCCGCTCTTGGCGGAAGGGCATTTGTGGCTGTGGTTTGGGAAAGCGGTTTCAGAGCTGCACTTTTACCTTTTCTTTTTACCAACCTTGTAGTAGGCATAGCAACATACGCGGAAGGGGGGAGCAGTGATGTAGCTATCAAGAGCCATTGAGGATTTCTTGGGTTGATAAAAGGCATTAGTGTGCATCATTTTTTTTTATTAAAATCACGCTGGCCAGATGTCTTATAAGAAGTACCCACACTTTACCCCGCCACACATGACCTGCCGACCGACTAACCACAGCGTACCCATTCATACTGCTGGATGGGCCGGGGTCGGGGCAATTTCAAGAACCTTGCCCTCACTGTTTCTATTGCTGCTGCCCTTCCTCTCAACAACGGCCACCTCCCCCTAATCGCCAACGCAGCCGGCGCCACCTGCAGACGTCACCCATGGGGCGCCACGGTGACGAAATGTTAACTACCTCGCCTGGTATGCATGAGGTCGTGGGTTTGATCCCTACCCTGACACCTGCTGTCTATTCGGAGTTTGCATGTCTCCTCTCCCTGCAGCCGCGCAGATTTTTCTCCGGGTCCTTCGGTTTTTCCTTCCACATTTAGAATCAACATCACGTGTCGAGAGTATTTTGCTGCTATAAATTCCCACGTGATAAGCCGCTTCGTTGAGCCATCATTTGTGGCCAGGTCGCTACTCAAGAAACAGCTTACATAGCTCAGTAGGCCTTGCCTGGTAAAATAAGAGGTTTTTTTTTGCTCTACACCGCCAGCGCCGCGCTCGTCATCTGCTCACTCACCCTCGTACTCGGCCTTCTTCACTGCGTCCAGGTTGCGCCACTCCGTGCCGACGATGCGGCTTAGCTCGCCGAAGGTGTACTCGGGGTTCTTGGCCTTCACCACGGCGCGCATCTCGCTGCTGAACAGGATGTAGCCGCTCGGGTTCGTCTTACGCTTGCCGTCCTTCGCCTTGCCCCGCACCGCCTTCGGTGTCGTCTGTGCCACGGGGATGAGGGGCGATGGGGGGGGGGGGGGGGGTTACCCCGAAAATTCGGCGATAAAAAAAACAGCGCAAAAAAAAGTATCTGCCTTGGCGTCCAAGGCGGTGACGACATAACTTTCTGACCCGCCACTACTGGACATCTGTGAAAGAGAGCTTCATCGCTCATCGGATTTCTCCAGGATAAAGATTCCGATTCTGTCATTACTTGTGACGTTACGCAGAGGGAGATCGCAGCGTTTTTAACGCTATCCAATCAAGGCCGAGAGTATTAATGATTCTTGTATGTCCATCTGTCTGGAACGAGAGGACCATGATAACTCTTGTAAAGATAAAGATCCAATAAAAACGAGTTTCAGTGGTGGTGTGGGGGGGGGGGGTGCCTGGTCAGCACCTGCGGGGTGAGGTACGCGGACGAGTCGAGGTCGCCCGCTAGCGGCGCGTGGAGCTGCGCGAGCGCCGCGTGATCCGCCAGGTCGCCCTCCTCCTCCATGCCCTCCTCGTCCTCCTCTCCGCCGGCACAGCCGGCACCACCGACGCCGCCATCCTGCTCCGCGAAGCGCGCCTCCAGCTCGGCGATCTTGCGGTCGAGCAGCGGCGACGGCTCCTTAGCCGGCGTGATGGGCTTGCTGCGCATAGAGACGCAGGGCCGCAGTCGTTACTCTCTCTGACGCGGTACCCGTTGAGTCGGACCGCGGCGTTCATTCATTTGGGACAGTGTCTGACGTTTCACTCCACGCTCCCTTTCTAAATAGAGTCAACAACAATAACTACTTTCTGCCACTATTTTCGTTGTATGTATGTTGAACTTTTTTCGCTCCGTACGTAGCCAACCATGCTAATCGGAGGTGCTAATCGTTATCCATGTTTTTGGGTTTATCTGGGCCACCTCTCTCCCATTATTAATCGAGGACCCAAGCAACAAGGGAATTTGTACTTGAGCTCCGCTCCCCGACTGGTGGCTTGTTGCACTGCAAACACCAACATAGCGGTGGAAACAGAATACTGGCCTCTTCTCTATCAATATATGGTTCATAGGTCATCACAGTCATTGATTTCACAACACAGTCATCGCCTCGTCCCTTCTTCCAGATCCTACGGTTGTCACAAAAAAAGCCGACACCGGCTAAGACAGGGAATACGATGGTGACGATGATTTTGTTTGGCCAATGAACAGCAACGATTAGAAATTCAGTTCAAAATTATTCGGTCATTTAATTGTTTTGTCTGAATGCAGATACACTGCCTTGAAAACCTATACTTGGGGCAGACAATACAATCGACAGAGGGGATACAATCAACAAAGACAACACAATGGACACGGTACAAACGAGATAATCATAACTGACTCAACGACTATTCTAACTAAACTTTTTATTTTATCAGGTAAGGCCCACTGAACCAATGTAGTTCTTTTTCAGAGGCGACCTGGTCACAAATGATAGTTCAAAGACCTGTCTTATCATGTGGAAATGTATAGCAGCCAAATACTCTAAACGCACTTTTATAAATGCGGAGGGAAAAACCGGAGGACCGGGAGAAAAATAACAACACACGACTCACTGAGCAGCGGGGGGGGAAGGGTTTGGATGGGAGGGTGGTGAATGGTCACGAGTCCCAGCGTTTGCAAATCCATCGCGGGGGGGGGAGGGTTCCCTTCACTCACCGGAAGTAGTATATCTCGTCGTCGAGGACCTTGGCCGACAGCGAGAATCGCCGCAGGCCCTTGAAGCGCTTCATGTGGCGCTCGGCCTCGTTGTAGCGGCTCTCGCACACGTACACGTCGCGCTCCGCCACCTCGGTGGCGCGGCACACCAGGTAGTCCTTGAAGGCGAGGACGCAGCACTTGCCTGCGACGGTGCAACAAAAACAACGACGACAACGCACACGCTGAGCCGTGGTGGGTGCCCGAGGGGGGCATGGGGGCGCAGACAAAGATCCCCCCCTATAGCCTCAGCAGACTGCTGGGGCAAGTGCTATCAACGAGTAGCACCTTTGAAGGCCGGCACGGCACACAATTGGGTGCTTGGCAAGCAGCAGGTCCGGCCGCCTTTGTCTCCCGAGTAGCGATGTTGACGCATCATACCAGGTACTCATTTGAGGTTGAGTCAACCTCCATTGGCTCCCGGTCCCACAACGAATTCAATTCAAAATCCTCCTCCTCTCACATGAAGCCCTTCATAACCAGGCCCCTTCCTACCTCACTGACCTGCTCCACCGCCACAACCCATCCCGTAGCCTTCGCTCATCTGACGCCAAACTCCTGACTCTACCTCTCAGGACCAAGCATCGAACCTGGGGCGACAGAGCCTTCTCTATAGCTGCCCCCTCACTTTGGAACTCTCTCCCAAAACAAATCCGTGACTGCACCGACCTTCCAGCGTTCAAATCATTGACTAAAACTCACCTTTTTAAAATTGATTTTAATGTTTAGCTAAGTTTGATGTGTTTTTAGTGTTTTTACAATTTGATGTAAAGTGTCTTTGAGTATTCAGAAAAGCACTCACAAATAAAATGTATTATTATTAAGGGAGGCCCAGGGCCAGTTCAGATAATCGCCACAGTAATTGGTGGTCGTGAGCAGCAATTGAACTTGGGTCGCCAGGTTCGTAGCACCTCGTGCTCACCTTTACACCACCACTCCCGCGCACGCACACACCTACACGCACACACACCTACACGCACACACATACGTGCACGCACGCGCACACCGACATGCACGATGACACGCACGCACCTACACGCGCACACCTACAAACACACGCACACCTACAAACACACGCACACCTACAAACACACGCACACATGCCGCACCGATGATGGTGTCCATGGTGCAGGTCTCCTCCACGGTGCTCAGGAACACCTCCTTCTTGTAGAACATCTTGGTCGGTTCGTGCTCCGTGTCCTCGGGAGGGATGAAGAACGGCCCGAAGAACCACACCCGCCCGTCTTTGTCTCTCCACAGCTTCTCCACCCTGCAGCAGACACAACGGCCCCCTGTGCTCATCGCGAACACTCACCGCCATCAGCCTGGATCCATCCACTGCTGGACGAAGACCTGCCCAAGCCACCGTCATCCCTGACAATTCTCCAGGGGAAGAATCCACTTGGCTTCTACATCCGAGCAGATTTCATTGCTCCATCTCCCCGACGGATGCCCTTGCGGACGCGTTCCGTTCCTTGGCTATAACAGTCATTAATCTTTATCATAAGCCATCATGCCTTATAGGTCTGACGTGTCCCGCGCAAACCTACTTGATTGTCTTAACAGCCAATACGATTTCTTTAACCTGCGTGCGTCCTCTGATCAACGCGTTCCTCTTCCCGTCTATCCCTGTCATTTCAAAACGACGATGCGTCATCTATCCATGCATCTCTGCGCACATTGTCCGCTATCATCTTTAACCGCCGCCATCCAGGGGGAGTCAGGGTGTGTGAAACAGGGGATGGCCCGAAGGAAGGGGACAGTAACAAAGGGGGCGCACGGTGGGTATCGAAGGGACGAGTGAGGGTCGGGGGGAAATGCTGACCTGCCAATGCGCGGCCGCTCGCGACCCTCAACCCGCGTGTACACGAAGTCCCCGATCTTGTGGTAGCGGCCACTCACGCCCAGTTGCTCAAAGTACTGGCAGCCGGGCTCTCCGTTGGGCATCTCCACCAGCACGTCCTCCCGCTCCTGCCAACAGTGGGCACGGCAAGTGCGCGCACGCACCAGTTACGTGCGTGTGTGTGTGCGCAAACATCCTACGAAGACGGTTCACTCCCGTAGGTGTGTGCGCGCGTTTATGTGTAAACGTCCCCCCTGCCTGCGGGGGTAGCTGTGGCGTTGTGGTTCGTGCACTGAGCTACAAACCCGGTGACCCAAGCTCACGACAAATATCAGCGACAAATATCTAAACTAGTATTGGGCTACTCCTGGGTTGACTCAACCTGAAACTAGTGCCTGGTACGGTGTGTAAATATCGGCACTGGGGAAACACATGCGGCAGGGCGTGGTGCTGGCCACCCACTCCTTGTATGCTGTACTGGCCTTAACAGGTGCTCGCTAACAGCACTTGCCCCACCAGTCTGTTAAAGGCAATATGTGGGATCTTTGTTTTTAAACACCCTGTCAAGACTGTTCACTCTGTGTGTGAACCCTGTCCAGGCAGTTCACGCCTCGTGAACGTTGGGCCTCACGCAGCCCCCCGGCGACCACCGATCGTCGTTCCGCTCCGCACCTTGTCGATGATATCGTCGTTGCTCTCCTCCATCATCCCGGCGGCCGCCGCCGCCGCAGCTGCCGCGGCCACCTTGGCCTCGTCGAGTCCTGCGGTGAGCGGCCCCACGAGCGTCGCCGCGGTCGCCGTCGCCCCGTCCCGCGGGCGCTCTCTCTCGCGTTGTTCCCTCTCGCGCTGCTCCCTGTCGCGCTCGCGCGACGCAAACACGGAGGCGACGCGCACCACGGGCAGCGGCTCGTCGCGCGCCACGAGCCGCGCCGTGCTGGGCGGCACGGACCACAGCTTGATCTTCTTGAAGGCCTTCACCTTGGTGGAGTAGCGCGACTCGCACACGTACACGTCTTCCGCGCGCAACCCGTCCGGGCGCGACTTAAAGTAGTCCTGGCGGAGAGGAGGTGGAAAAGTGCTTCCACGTCACGCACAACGACATCGTCGCCTGGCTGGCAAGACAAAATTCTTTGAGCGCTCATTTTTAACGGCAACTTTTTGGCAACCCTTTGATAAACCTGGTCAGTTTTCTCTAAGTGACTGAGATCAACATAACTGTTTGTGCCTTTTTTTTTTGGTGCCATCTTTTGTTTTTAAATTTTAGATTTTGCTTGGTAGTCAAGTTTCAATTTGCTTGCTTATGGCTGTATGTAGGATTTGGTCCTCATAACATTAATGTACAGCGTTATGGGATGCTATTAGCATGAATTACGCTGTATAAAATGAAAATATAATTTAGTTAAAGTTTTGTTCATATTGGATAATCTTAACAATAATTATCATGCTCCCACCCTTTGTTACAGACAGACGCGCCGAGCTAAAGTATTCACACTTTAAACCTCAGTTATGGATACAGCTGGGCTATCCGGTAACAAATTCATTATTTTCTCTACCGATTCTCGGTGAGATTATTTAGTTCATGGGATCGCCATAGAAGAGTTGGAAACTATTCGAGTCCTCGACCACAAAAGTACATTTTACAACTTTTGGTCGATCGATAAATCAACTTAATGAACCGCGTGTGTGAGACGGGGCGGGGGCTGATACCTTGACGAACATGACGACGCACTTGCCCAGGATTTTGGAGACGGGCACCGTGTTGTAGTAGTCGCTCTTGAAGACCTCCTTCTCGAGGAACTTGCGTGTGGCCAAGTGGAAGGTCTCCGTGGGCCGGTAGAACCAGCAGCCATACAGCCACTTCTCTCCTGCGGAAGGGGGGATACGGACACGCAAAGACATACACACACACACACAATCAGATCCTATGTGCAGCATAAGACTGCTGAGGTAAATTATGCATTAAATATAACACACATTTGTACGATATCCACCGTTTTCATGAGATCCAGAGGCGTGGGAAATCACAGATGAGCGGGATGGCAGCCAGAACTACAGTCAACAATTGCCCAAGCTCTGTGATCCTATATTGCCATGTTTGGCCCACTTCATGAATGAGTGTTCATAAAAGTGGAAGGAAAACGGAGTGCCCGGAGAAAACTCACCCATGCGAAGGGGTAACAACTCTCAATCGCCGTGGAGATGGACAAAACAAAGATCTGAACAGACTGTAGGGGCAAGAGCTGTTAGCGAGCACCTATGAAGGCTGGTACGGCACATCAGGGGGTGGGTGGTCAGCACCACACCCGGCTGATTATCTACCGAGTGGTGATGTTTACACGCCGCACCAGGTACTCATTTTGAGGCTGAGTCGACCTAGGGGAGGCCAAGGACTGATTCAGATAATCGTCACTGATGGTGGCCGTGAGCGAGAATCGAACCCAAGTCGCTGGGTGCGAAGTGCAGCGCAGCAACCGCTGCACTCGGGCTCCCCATACATCCACCCACACACCTACCAGTATTATCGTCCACCCAAAGCTTCTCAATGCAGGCTATGTGGGGCTGGAGGTCCGAGGAGCTCGGCTCCACGTAGACAAAGTCGCCCACGCGGTACATGTTATCCTCGAAGCTGCAGTCCTGGCTGTATGTTCGTTGCCCTCCCGCCCGCGTGTCCGACCCCTCGCTCTTCTTAAAGTCTGTGCGGGGACACAGGCACACAGCCGACACGCATTACACAGCCAACACGAACATGCAGCCGATACACACACAGCCGATACTGGGTATTAGTCCTGGCTGATGATGATGATGACAATAGGAAAACGCAAACGAAAATACAAACATCTATTTGCACATCTACTTCTCACACATAGTATTCACAAATGTATCTTCAATGAGCAGCAGCATCTATGTGTGGCAACATTAATAAAAAAAACACATTCAAGACGAAGGAAGCTAAAACTCACGTGGAACAGGCGCGGGACACGAGAGACTGTGTGTGTGCAGCAACAAGGTAAGAGCACGCTGGGTTCCATCTCTCAGTGAAATGTTTTTAGAAAAATCTTTGCAGAAGACCGAGCGGGCTGAGCGAAGACACGGGGGGACTGGGGGGGGTGCCAGGAGAAGACTGGGGACTCACCGGACGGGTCCTTGCCGTCCTCGTCGCGCTTGGCGCGATCTTCCGCTGCCTCGGCGGGAACCTTCTCCTTGCGCTCCTTCTCCAGGTCGTGCTGAAGGTGCTTTGCCGTGTAGCTGAGCGCCGGCGACAGCAGCATCTCTCCGTTCTTGCACAGCTCATCGCGGATCTTGATGAAAAACTGCTGCAGCTCCACGGCGTCCTCGTAGATCTCCGAGTCCGTGCTGTCCCGGGCGAGGGAGAGAGTGACGACACACAGCGGCGGTCTGGCAACGCCACACGGGTCTGCATGATGTGCGCGCGGGTGTGTGTATGCGTGCTCGCTGACTGTGTGGGGAGTGGTAGCGTAGTGGTTAGCGCGATACTAATGCGATGCTAACCACTGCTCGTAATCGTATATATGTTGTTTGTCTCTTAACGGCGACTCTTAACTGGGGGAGCAGCACAGAAAGTCTGTGCTGCTTCCCCAGTTGTCTGGGTGAAAAGTGGGCCAAGTTTTGCCCAATTCTGGCCAGTTGGCTCAACAACATCGCTACAAACACGGCCACCGAAGTTCAAGCCACACCATCCCCTCAATGCGCTGCGATGGGTTTCATAGGTGCATCCATGCATCCCTTGCCCATGCACAGGCGTGGGCAATGTATCCTCACACGACGACCAAGCATAAACTAAACAATTTTTTATTTTACCAGATAAGGCCCACTGAGCAACCTGCCCACAAATTATAGCTCATCAAAGTGGCTTATCATGTGGAAAGTTATAGCAGCCAAATACTCTAAACAAATGTTTCTAAATGTGGAGGGAAAAAGCGGAAGTCCCGGAGAAAAATCCACACAACCACGAGGAGAACATAAGCTCTGCTAACGCAACCGCCTCTCACCGGTTCATCTTGCGCGCTCTGTCCAGCACTTCGAACATGTGCTCCTGGAACACGTCCAAACGACGGTAGCGCCCCCTCTCGATGTTCCTCCGGATCGTCTCGAATGTCAGCTGCCGGTCCTGGGTCTCGGCGGCCACCGGCGCCACCACAGGGGTGGTGGTGGCGGCGGTGGCGGGAAGTTCGGCGCCGGCGTCGACGGCCAGCGGGCAGGACACCACGTCGGCGAGCGAGTCGCTGTAGCAGCGCCCCTCCTCGTCCTGGTGGCTCAGGACGGACACGAAGAGGTTGTTAATGAGCTCGCGCACGAGCAGGCCCACCTTGGGCGCGCCGCCGCCGCCCCCGGTTATCGCATCGATCTCGTCGTCTTCGTTGTCGCACAGCTGGCGCCTGGCGCGGAGGAGCACGCGGTGCAGCACCAGCGCGTCCTTGTAGATGAGCGAGTCCGGGTCGTTGTAGGTGCACGCGTTGTTGAACATGAGCGTGAAGTCCTCCACGAGCGACTCCACGTCCTGGTACTTGCCCGCCACCATGTGGGCGCGCATCTTCTCCATGTCCACGGGCTTCTTGATGGTCACGTAGTAGTCGGGCAGCTCGGAGCGCGACGGCAGCCGCAGGAAGATGGTGCACAGCTTGCGCCCGCGGCGGTCCGTGTGGCTGCGCACGGCCTCGTACAGGTCGCTCAGCTTCTGCTGCAGTGGCGTCAGGCTTCGGATCTTCTTCGGAGACAGGCCGCTCTTGCGGCCTGCATGCACGCGGGCAGGAGGCGCGTGGGGGTCCGAGGAATCGTGGCGGCGAGTTCGTGGGGTGGGTGCGGAGAGCCGAGGCGTGATAGGGGGAAGCGTGGGGAGACAAAAATCATTATGCAGGCGGATCATAAGAATGTGTATGGATCTTTGTCGTTGGGAAGCGGTGGCGTAGGGTTTGAGCGCGCTGCGTTACGAATCCGGAGGCCCGGGTCAATTTGAAGGTTTAGCGCATGATAAGAAAGGAATAGTTTGTACTGCTTCACAACACCACGTTTCTAATTCAAACTAAACAATTTAAACAATTTTTTATTTACCAGGTAAAGCCCACTGAGCTATATAGCTCTTTTTCAGGAGCAACCTGCCCACAAATTATAGCTCATCAAAGTGGCTTATCACGTGCAAATTTATAGCAGCCAATTACTGTAAATGCATGGAAAAACTGGAGGACCTGGACAAAAATCCACACCACCACAGGAAGAAAATGCAAACTCCAAATATACAGGAATTAGGATAGGGATCGAACCCACGAATAGGCGAGGTAGTTAACATCTTGCCACCTAAACAATAAGTGGAGCGCCGGGCGGCTAAAACACAGCGAGGTGGCACAGTAGACAGCACAGGTGGCACATCTGCCAGCCATCTCAGTCAGTCAATCCAAGAGTCTGTCCCGTGACTTCTAGTCAGCGAGATTTTGACACTGCAAGTGGCCTCAAAGTGCCCCTAAGCCTGGTACGAGCGCTACAGTGGTGAACGGCAGCTGCTGCTGTGTTGTTGTTGTTGTTGTGTGGGACTGGTATTAGGTGAGCCCCCGTGGCTCGCGCGTGCAAGCGAGGGAGACGCGGGGACTCGACTCCTCACCGAGCTTGAGTTTGGGCGAGGGGGACTCGTCCTCCTCCGTCAGGGGCCCCATCTCCTTGAGCTTCTCGCGGATCAGCCCCTCCAGCGTCACGGCGTCGTTGTACACCTGCGACCCCTCCTCGTTGTAATGCCGCGCGTTGCGGAACATGAGCTGGAAGTCGTCCATGAGCGCCTCCTGGCTGGTGTACTTGTCGGCACGGATGTTCTGCTCGATGTTGCGCATGTCGATGGGCTCCAGGATGATCTTGTAGTAGTCGGGGTAGTCCTTGCGCGACGGCCGCACCATGAACAGGTCGACGAGGCGGCGCCCCGACGCGGGGTCGCGCGCCTCCATCGCGGCCGCGTACAGGGCCCGCAGCCGACGCTTAAGCGCCGAGTCGGCGTCTCGCCGCTTGTGCGTCTTGTACACTTTCTTGCCCGAGGAGCCCGTGAGCAGGATGCGGCTTATTATCCTGCGAGTCGGAACATACGAGCGAGCGAGCAAAGGGGTTTAAGGTTTTTACATTTATTCAGAATCAGAATATTTTTACTGGCGGAATCAAATGCACTATAAAGCTCTTTTTCAAACATGTCCTCGAGAGGGCGCTTGTTTCAAATATTCGGCAACTCAAATTGCACTTAGGTCACACCTCATCTCGACCGTTCCAATGGCCCTGTTGCGGTCTAACCAAGAAGATACCTCATGGCAGCTGTCCCTATGCGGCACAAGGTGTAAGCAGCATCGACCTGCAATTGGTCATATGTCCGCCAGTTGGGGGCGATGTTACAAAGTCTTTTACGCAATTAAATAACAACCACAAATAATAAATGGATATATACATGAACGGAGAGGTGAAGCAATCAGCCTTGTAGCATAGCTTATGTCCGACCCCCTTCGCTCTCAGCAAGAGAGCAAGCATCGTCCACGTCACTGCTTAGGTGCGGCAGTGGAAAAATAACCTGGCGCCTCGTGATCTGCGTCAGGCTGGCTCGGCACGACCCCGGCGTGGCTCGGTTGTCCAGTGGAAAAAGAGGGAAGTGATTTAGACCAATGATTGACCACCTCTCTCTCGATAAAATAAATATTCCCACTGTTTCTTTATGGAGCCAAGAGTGCGGTCTGGGTCGAGAAGCGATTGTGGAGGCCTAACTATGGCCTCCATGGCACAGGACCACGGGCGCAACAGTGCCTGCATCTGCATCAAACCAGCACCGTGCCAGCCAAGGCCGTCACCGTGCGCGGAATGGGAGTGCGCGTGCGGGTGCACGAGGGTTGGGCGCCACCTCTTGCGCTTGCCGCTGGCGGTGTCGGGCGTGGAGGCCGTGCTGCTCTCCGGGTCGTCGCCCAAGTCCCGCGAAATGTCCGCAGAGCGCAGCAGCAAGCGCTTCTTAATCTGCGCCGCACACGTCAAAGTCACAGACCACCGCGTCAACCACCACAGTGATATAAACCACCACCACCACCCCACACAAACCACCTCCAATCACTACACAAACCACCGTGTCAACAATGGTGACATATTCCACTACCCACACCACCACCACAATCATACAAACCCACCTTTGAACACCACACAAACCACCGCCTCAGCCATGACGATGATATACACCACCACCACCACCATATAAGGTCAAACAAACCACCTTTGACCACCACACAAATTAACTTCAAACACCACACAAACCACCATGGAGACAGAGGAGCGGTGATGGAGTAGGCAGACAGTGGGGAGACATCAGACAAAGGGCAGCAGAAGACAGACAGAAGAGACAGAAAAAAAGGGCAGCAGCAGGCGGGCAGCGGCCAGGAAAGCTTCGGAGGAGCGTGTGGCAGCGGGGCCGACCTGCAGCAGGTGCTGGAGCTTGACGGCGCGCTTGTAAATGGAGGACGTCGGCATGTTGAAGCGCTTGGCGTTTTCGAACATGAGCGTGAGATCGGAATCCAGTTGGTCGGCGCTCGTATACTCGCCTGCGCGCAGCTTGCTCCTGCCACCGCCGACAAGCACGAGAGACACGACATCAAGAAGCGGCAGAGGGGGCAGCAGCAGCAGCACTTCCCGGCTGGTTTTATACACACGGAACGGTGATTCCATCGATTCTGGAAACTATGAATTGTCAGCATCAGTGTTCGCGGTTTGATTTAAGAACCGATTATTTATTGTCTTCATTCAAGACTGCACTCGCCTTCTTCAAGCTCCTCTGCCTCCTGCCACTCGACTCCCCTCCATGTACTCTCCTACCTCTATCCATTATCCTCAAGAAACTCCCCTCCACGCACTCTCCTACACTTCAATCGAAAGCATGAATTAAAAGCATGCGTCAGGTGCAGTTAGCATTTTATGATCGCAAAACTTAAGCAAAACCCCTGCCTGTACATTCCTCCAGCCATACCACCCTGCAGCCATACCACCCTGCAGCTGTATCACCCTCCACCCAGACCACCCTTCCAGCCATACCACCCTCCAGCCATACCACCCTCTAGCCAGAGCACCCTGCAGCCAGACCACCCATCCACCACCCACACATGCCCACCTGATGTGCAGCAGCGCGATGGGCTGCTTGATGAGCACGTAGTACTCGGGGTACTCCTTGCGGGAGGGCAGCCGCAGGAAGGGGTCGGCAAGCAGCTGACCCTGGGCGCCGCGCGCGTTCTGCACGGAGTCGAGCAGCCGCTGCAGGAGGCTCCCGCCGGACTCAGAGCTCCCGCCGGGACTCACGGCGGTCGTGCCCCCCCCGGCGGCGCCGCCAACGCTGCTGCCGCCGCCATCGTGGTCGTCATCCTCGTCGGAGTTCGGCGCGTCCTCGTACTGCATGCTGTCGTCGCCTTGGTGGGAAACAAATCGAATCGCGAGTACATTTTGGTATCCGCCGGCGTTCTCGCGGCAGACAAAGCAATCAAATTATTTGAAGATTCGGCATTCGCGCCGTTCTTACTTGCCAAGACCCTCCTGAAAATAGTCTTCAGACCAAGTGAGGATATCTGAGGTAAACAAAAGCCTAATAATAATAATACATTCATAAGAATAATAGGATTAACATCAACAAGATGATGCTTGTGCCAGGATAGGTTCACAAATATGCACCTTTGGCATATTTGTGAACCTATCCTGGGACCCTCGAACGCGTTTGGCATGTGGGAGGGTCCCACATTTATCCGGTCTTGAGACACGGTGGCGTATTGACCATTCGCCGTGACCATCATCTATCCACTGCTGGATAAAGGACTCCTAATCCCCCCGCCCCTCAACCAAGCCATCACCAACTTGCATCGTGTCACAATGCAGTACCTGCGCACGAGCTGATCTCATCGCTCCGTCTCCGCGGCGGACGTCCTCTGGGGCGCGTTCCCTCCTTTGGCTGCCACTCCGCCGTTAGTCTCGACCGTCGGACGGTGGCGTTGAGGCTCTCTATAAAAAGCCACAGCGCAGTGTGAATTGCGCAAGATCCACACACCACGGCAAGGCTGTAGAAGTACAGCTGTTAAGTATACGCATCGGAGACAACGAATCGTGCACACGCACGGCATCTGCGTGCAACACTTTCCAACAGACGTTTATCCTCCGATGCGTTCAATCAGCGATAATTGCATACGCAGGATTTCACGACCGACGTAATGATTTGTAATTGGTTTCTTTTGGTTAGGTCGCGTAGGTGTAAAGCCAATTTTTTACGTAACCCTCAACCACACCTTACGATGAGGAATGCAACCTCCAGCAAAACGTCTAATAAAAAAATGTCAAAAATATTGCTTGATTTTCAATATTTCCTCCCCTTCCAGTTTTGCTTAAAAACCAAATCAATTGGGACTTTTGCGCATGGCATTAGACAACTTGATTGGATTGGCTGTCAGGGAGTGGAGGGTTGTTATCGTTACAGATTGGCATTATACCGTCACGATGATTGAACTCCAAAAGAAACAATGAATGAATGAGCAATTATTCCATTTGGGACCGAGCCGCACAAACGTGACGTCACACGGTGTGCATATGGCATGACATCATCTCGCGACGGCACACGTTACGATGTCATCACGTTGACCAGCAACCCAGATATTTTGTTGTTCTGGTTTTTTGTGCGACCCCATTAAACTAAACTATACAATTTTTTTTATTTTACCAGGTAAAGCCCACTGAGCTGTACAGCTATTTTTCAGAAGAAACCTGGCCACAAATGATAGATCAATGAAGTGGCTTGTCAACGTATCATAGCCAAATACTCTAAACTTGATCAAGTTGGCCGGTTTCCTTTCGGGTAAGTTCCTAAGAGCAACACAACTTTAAACAATTTAGTATTACTAATATTGGATCATCGTTACTAAAGTTATCGGGGCCTCCCCATCCCCATTACAGACATCCAGAGAAGCGGACAGAATGAATGCATTCACGCTTTCAACCTTAGTTCTCGTTAAAAATGAATGAATTAACGAATGAACGACCGAACCGTTTAGCGGTTGCTGCTGCTCCTCGTCCTCGCTCTCGGAGCCGTACTGCAGCGTCATGGTGATAGCCGACAGGCGGTCGCCCTGCGCCGAGCGCCGGTTCCTGCCACAGACGAATCCACGGGCGTACAAAAGACAAAGATCCCCCGTATATCCTTACTGGACTATTGGGGCGAGTGCTGTTAGCAAGCAACTATGAAGGGCGGCACGGCGCACGTATATCAGGGAGTGATGTTTCCAGCACCACGCCCAGGAACAGCTCAGAGTCACCACCGGTGTTGCCCATGAGCGGGAATAGAACTCAGACTGGCAGGTTCGTAGCACATTGCGATAACTGCAACGCTACCGCTTCCTGCACACGCGCCCACTCGCTCACTCGCGCACGCACACAATCACTGCACTCCTAAATATCCCCACCAGCCGCAGCACCGGTGCACACCACGCTCGCCCACCTTATCCTCAGGCTGGTCTTCACGGGCTCCAGTGAGTGCTCCAGTTCTGTCTTCTTCTGGTTGAAGATCTTCTTGATCGTGTGCGCATCCTGCCATCACAAAACGACAACAAGATGTGTCTCTCGCGGGTGGCGGTGAGAACGATGCTCATGGTCGCGCGGCGTGCGGGTGACCCCACCGTGCACTGCCCCTCGATGAACGCTCAACGGTCCCGGGTGAAGCCGGGCAAATGTTCTAAACTATGGCCAACAGATGGCTCCGTTAATAAACCACTGTTGGTTCGAGATCTCACAATCCACCAGGTGAGAGTGAGCAGGTGAGGGGGAGCGGGAGATGGCAAGCAGGTGATTGCAAGCGGATGATGGTGAACGGGTGGTGAACAGAAGCTGGCACGCAGATGTTGGCAGGTCTCACCTTGAAGACCTGAGATCCTGGCTCGTTGTAGTTGCGTGCGTTTTTCACCAGAGTCTCCACGTCGCGAGCCATCTCCGTTATGCTCTTGTAGAAGCCGGTCTGATGGGTGATCAAAGACAAAGATCTCCCATGTAGCCAAGTGCTGTTAGCGAGCACCTAATAGGGCGTAGTGCACACGTACCTTATAAGAGCTGTTTTTTGGCCTGCGAACACTGTTAACTTGCGCTCACCATTAATGCACGGTTGGCTATGTACGCTGCGAAATAATTTCAACATACAATGCCCAAGATTCACTCACCTGGATCCTCTGAGCGATCGTCTTCAGGTCAATGGGATCCTTGATGACGTCGTAGTAGTCGGGGTAGTGCTGGAAGGAAAATGAGAGGTTATTCAATGTTGGACGCATGCGACACGGATCCGCACGCAAAACAATCATCCACCTGCTGGACGAGGGTCTCCCCATGCCGTGAGGGCGACGTGGGTTGTTCGATAAATACTTCACCCACGCTGGCCAGGCACCCGTTGTAGGCAGGGAATTGAGTGGGGCTAGAAGTTAGGCTTACTGTGAGTAAGGCTCGAGCGTTACTGAAGCTATGTACTTTTCAAATCTAGATTGAAAACGAATATCTTTAGAAATTATATTTTCGTTTAGTTTGTCGTCCTTCCACTGTGCCTCTGATTAGCACGGTTGGCTACGTACAGCGCGAAATAAGTTCAACATAAATTTTACATCAGGAGTCTGAGTAAAGTAAGGGCTAAATCTATTGTTATAGTGAGCACGAGGTGAAGGTCTCAGGACAGGAAGGGTTAGAGTCAGGGTTAGGAGTAGGGCTAAGCTAGGCTTTAGTGTTGGGATGAGTGGGCTAGGGTTTAAGATAACTCGTGCTACGGTTGAACTGAGGCGACCTCGCTGCTGTGAGAAGGAGGCAGTGCTGACCGTGCGTGACGGAAGCTTCTGAAAGAGCTCGCTGATGAGGCGTCCGGATGGGTCGCTGTACGTCGCCACTGTCTCAAACAGCTGTTCCAGGTGCTCCTTTAGGCCCCGCACACGCTGTGAATGCATGTACACATAAGCATAGATATACACGCAACAAGAATCAATCGTATAGCCTTAACATACTCGTGGGATAAGTGATGCTAGCGAGCACATTTGAAGGCGGGCACTGCACGGAAGGGGGTGGGTGGCCAGCACCACATTCTTTGTCTACCCAATGGTGAATTTTACAATTTACACAGGTGCTCATGTGAGGCAGAGTCGACCTATGAGAGGCCCAGAGCAGTTTCAGATATTCATCACCGGTCTTGGCAGGGAGTGGGAATCGTAACTCAGGTCAGCAGGTTCGTTGTGAAGTGCGCTAACCACCACACTACTGCTCCCTGCACATAGGGACCGACACAAGGATCTCCCATATAGCCTTTAACAGACCGTTGGGGAAAGTGTTGTTAGCGAGTAGCAGCAGCTATGAAGGCCGACACGGCACCCGAGGGGGTGGGAGGCCAGTCCCCACATACGAACCCGCACAAGCACGTACACACACACACAATCAAGCAGACAAGCTCTTGCATCTCGTCGTGCATTGTGACCCCTCGCGCATATGGCCACGAGACCGCCGTGAAAGCAAAGGTGCCCACCGGCTTCCCATGCATCTCGTCGTCCTCCGTGGTGCCCGCTCCGCTCTCCTGACCCTGCTCCTGCTCAAGATCCTCCGCCTCAGCCTCAGGCTCGGCCTCCGCTTCTTCCTCTTCCGCGTCTTCCTCTTCCTCCTCCTCCACTTCCTCCCCCGCTTCCTCCTCCTCTTCCTCCTCCGCTTCGTCCACCTCCTCTTCCTCCTCCACCTCCTCCTCTTTGGCGGTCGTCGCAGCTGCGACAGCGGCGGCGGAAGCGGCGGCGGCACTGGTGGCGGTGGCGACGTCCAAGGGCGGGTGGATGAGCTCATTGCGCTTGGAGACGTAGAGCTCCCAGAGGCGGCACGCGTCGCGGTGTTCCACCGTGCCCTCCTGGTGGAAACGGAAAACAAAAATACAAGTGAGCAAGGAAGAATCGCGCGCGTGCACACGCACGAGTTCTGAAACGTTTTCCAACATGCGTTCGTCCCCGGAGGGATTCAATAACGTTTCATTCTGAGCCACACGGTGAGGTGACGTTAGTTGTAATGACGTCATCGCCTTGACAGGCAACGCGTAAACTATTAGCGCCGCTTTTGTCTCCAAGTTTTGGGCAATAACAAGGTAACTTTATTTTAAAGTTTTGTATATTTAACTTTGTAGTCCCTCTTTCTTACTGGCAAGACAGAGATGCTTAGTTGGAGAACATTTTAAAAGCATTTGTGCGAGCGATCGGCACGTACCTTGTAATAGGCCTTGGTGTTGTTGACCATGAGCTGGATGTCGGTGGTAAGCTGGTCCACACTGTTGTACTCCTCCGTCTTCAACTTCTGCTGAATCTTCAGCAGGTCCATGGGCTGAGAAACCACGTCATAGTAGTCGGGGAGGTTCCTGGGAAGAAGCATTTCGAAGTGATGCTGTCATGACGTGAAAAGTCATCCTGCGGCATCACGTGTCACTTGACGTCATCTCATTTGCATCGTCTATTTCGTCACAAAAACTAAATTCAAACACCTTGCCATTAATACTGCGTTATAACACCATTAATAGCATCATTACCAGCCATGAACAAGTCACTGTTAGACGAATGGCTCCCCAAATAGTTGCCATCACTAAGTCTTGCGATGCCACAATTCCCGTGAACCAAATAGCTGCCTTATAACAGAGTAAAATACCAGTCAATGCCACCTCCACCCCCGTGACGTATGTATGTTGAACTTCTTTTGCATCATACATAGCCAACCGTGCTAATCAGAGGGGTGGAGACGCACCTTCCTCCGCAGAGCCGCTGTTGCCTCATTGCAGCCTACGGAACAACGGCTTCCTTCGCGCCTTGTGCGAGCGCTGCCAATTATACGGCCTTACCTGCGCTTGGGCACGCGGATGAAGAATTCACACAGCAGCCGACTGTGTCCATCCCGCGTGTCCCGCAGAGTATTGTACAACTCATGGCACACGCCCAGCTGCAAGGGGAAGGACCGGAGGCAAGGCAGGGTAGAGAGTGTAAGGAAGGAGAGCGTGGAGGACGAGGGAGAGAGGGCAGAATGGGAGTGTAGGGCTAAAGTGGGGCAATAAGCACAAGGAAGGAAATATGATTGAACCCAGTATGACTGAAACACAGTCAGTCTGGTAGACCCGAATCCTTAACACAGGTGAATAAAACTTATTTAAGATTTTAGATTCCTTATGTTGAATGTATGCACCATCCTGCCAAAGTAAATTCCGTGTTGGTGTGAACTTTCATGGCGAATAAAACCCTTTCTGATTCTGAATAAATCATGGAGTAAAGTTAATGGGAAGTGATCATGGTAATAGCGACAAAGGAGGCGACTGGGGTAAATCAGTAAGTGCTGAAACGTTGATCAGCCTGGCTGCATTACACTGAAATCTATCGGGTGCAGTCAGTTTTGTCTTTTGTTGTTGCTGCTGTGCTCACACAGCACCACGGATCTAATTAGTAAAATAGCCGGGCAACTGGCTACACGGGACCATGTACGCATGTATGTTGAACTTCTTTCGCACCACACATAGCCGACCGTGCTAATCGGAAGTGCAGGGAAGGACAACAAACTAAACACAAAGAGCAGTTCTAAATAAACGAAATTTAAATCTAGATTTTCAAAAACCATCTGTGTAACAAATCAAAACACATTCCTGCAGAGGGGGCACAAGCCGGCGTGAGTAGGTTAAAGTTGAGTTTTATAAGGGCACCACGGGGTGACCAGCCCCTCCCCACCCAGCCACACCCCACCCTACCCCCTCCCACTCCCCACCCAGCCCCACCCTCCCCACCCAGCCCCTCCCCATCCTACCCAGTCCCTCCCCACCCAGCCCCTGCCTAACCTCCCCTCTCCACCCAGCCCCACCCCTCCCATTTTTTATATCCAAATGTCCGGATACACGTGGACAGACATCCACAGACATACACAATTAATCCCCTGCCTCCTGTGAGAATTAATCCCGGATGGGCTTCCAGTCCACTACGTTTCCTACCAGTATAAACTCAAACCTGACGGTAGGAACCTGGGTGCACCCACCCCATATACGCTAACGGTTTTCCAACAAATGTATGCTTTGTATCGCACGAGTAAAAATCCAAGACAGGGGGGGCCCGGGCGGTGGTGGTTGGGGGGGGGGGTGCGTACAGGATCCACTGCTTGCGTGTGTGGCCGGCGCCGCTTGCGGGGGGGCACCGCAGCGGCAGCAGTTGGGGGGGGGGGCTCTTCGGCATCCCCCCCGCTGGCGCTGCTGGAAGGCGAGGCCGTGCGCCGTCGCTTCACTCCCATGGTGAGAGTGGTGCCCTGTGCAATGAGGCAACATCGTCATCACTACCATCACTGCCATCATTACTATCATCATGCCCATCATCATCGCATCATCGTGATCATCACATCATCATTATTGCCATTATCATCACATCATCTTTATTGCATCATCATTGCCATTATCACTATCATCATTGCCATCAACATCATCATTCCCATCATCATCACTATGACCATTGCCATCAACAACGTCATCATCATTACTATCATTGCTGCCCAATATTATTGTCATCATCATTGTAATCACTATAATTACAATAATTATCATTAACATTACCAAAATTATTATCATCATTGGCTATCGTCATCACTAACATCACGATCATTATTATCAGTATCGTCATCGTAAGCATCACTACTGTGCCATCATTCCAATCACTCTCATTTCTGTCAGGACAAACATCATTGTCATATTACTAGTTCTGTGTGGCTGAGTGACCCATACATATTTACACACACGGCACACCATATCGAGAATACCTCTTGCTAGTGACGTGCCACCTATTCCAGATAAAAATCGACCTGGAAAATATTCATCGATACATTAAGCCCCACCATCCATGTGTTTCTCTGTCTCTCAGTTTAATTCTGTCTCTGTAAATATCCTTCTTTGAACACTTTTCAATTATGGATCCTTATGGGGTTTTTATGATGTTGTCCCAATCAATATGGTTTAAAACGTTTTTCTTCAGGCACCCTGGTACTCATCAAATGTAATTACCATATACACAAGGACTCTATCCTGCTCTCGCTTCCTTCTATCTCATAATTGAATCCCCATCCGCCTTCAACATGTCCTAAATATACACGTGTTGCGTTTTCTCTACAATTATTTCGTATTTGTTCAGCGAACTTGCTCTGCATGACTTTTGATTATATGTTTTGCTCCACTTTGCCCACTTTCTGTTTGTGAAGTGTTTCAATCATTTCCTCTTCGTACTTTCACCATTTATTTGTGTGCCTTTTCCCCAATTGGCGTTGTTGTGATTAGTTCTGCTCACTCCTATTTTATCTGCATTCTGTGACTTTACTTCGTGCCATCTCAGTTGTTGCTGTTCAATCTTTGGAATCCCATTTGATATAATGTCAATGCATTGGTTGATTTTAAGGTCCCCGGTTTGTGACAGCTTGGATGCTGAGACAGTTTCGAGCGAACAAGGTTCCCTTGCATACCAAGCCAAAAATAATAGACTTTTGGGGCAAGCACTGTTCGCGAGCATCTATTATGTAAGTACGTTGAACTTCTTTCGCACCGTACGTAGCCAACCGTGCTAATCGGACGTGCGGGGGAAAGACAACAAACTAATCGCAGTTCTAAAGAAATTAGCGTCCAATCCAGAGGATTTAAAAATGCATAGCTCTAGTGGCTTCTTATGAAGGCTGGTAGGGCACACGAGGGGATGGGTGTCCAAGAACGACGCCCGGCCGCCTTTGTCTCCCCAGTGGCGATGTTTACACATCGCACCGTGTACTGATTTAAGGCCGAGTCGACCGCGGAGAGGGTCCCATGCCCGGTTCAAGATATTCGCCACTGTTGTCGGTTCGTAGCGCAGCGCACGAACCGACAACAGTGCCCGGCTCCTCCACAGCATGAACCACACAGACGTCGCTCCGACACCCCCGACTCAAAACATACACAAACTCAAAACATCCACAAACTCAAAACATCCATAAACTCAAAACATACACAAACTCAAAACATACACAAACTCAATCATACATAAACTCAATCATACACAAACTCAAAACATACACAAACTCAAAACATCCACAAACTCAAAACATACACAAACTCAAAACATATACAAATTCAAAACATATACAAAACCCGAATGAGACACAAAGCCCGAATGAGACGCAAGCCCTTTAATCCACTGCTGGATAAAGGCCTCCCCAAGTGATGGGGTGGGGGGGGGGAGTGTTTGACCATACTTCACCACGCCGGTCAGGGCGGGTTTAGTGAAAGTTACGAGCTAGAAGAGGTTCAGATATCACTCTTAATCCACTGATGTGGTGCCGTCAGCCGGGAATCAAACTCGGGGGGTGGGGGGTGGGCGGTCGTCGAGTTCGAGACGCAGAGGCTCTCACCGCTGCGCCCAAACACCACCACCACCACCGCACCAACAAATCCCCCAAACCTGGCACCCGAAACACAAAAGAGCGCGCGGTGCGATTTACGCCTAAATCGACGAAAGGCAAACGCGGCCGTCGTGAGCCACGCGAAACAAGCGCGAAAAAAAACCCCCAACACGCAGCGCGTGTGGAGCAGCCCGTGCCTGGGAGCGAACCCGCACCGAGCCCGCGCGGCGGCGGCGGCGGCGGCTCCGAGGCCCCCCCCTCACCCTGGGGGCAAGCAGAGAGGCGGCGCGACGAGGTTGAGAGTGGACGAACGACGACCAGGGGGCGGGTTGTTCACTCGGCAAGGGTGGATGAGGTGAGCGAGGGGGATCGCGACGCGCGCGGGCCTCAGCATCGACAATGGGAGCGGGAGGTGCGGGGCAGCGGCGGGGTGGGGTGGGGTGTTTGCGGCACTTTACGACGCTGTACGGCAGGCGGTTGGTCTAATTTACGACGATTTGCGGCAGTCCCCCCCCTCTCCTCCCCCCTCTCCCCCTCCCCTCCCCCCTCTCCTCCCCCCTCACCTCTCCTCACCTCTCCTCCCCTCTCCTCCCCCCTCCCCTCTCCTCCCCCCTCCCCTCTCCTCCCCACTCCCCCCTCTCCTCCCCACTCCCCCTCTCCTCCCCCCTCTCCTCCCCACTCCCCCTCTCCTCCCCCCTCTCCTCCCCCCTCTCCTCCCCCTCCCCCCTCCCCCCTCTCCTCTCCCCTCCCCCCCCTCTCCTCCCCCTCCCTTCTCCTCCCCCCTCCCCTCTCCTCCCCCCTATCCCTCCACAGTAGTGTGCGACTGTGCAATGCCCAGATCCACAAATACGAAAGAGACACCACAGCGATACAACTCCGCTGCTCCTGACGCGATTACATGGCTTGACAACCTGAATGTGAAATCGTAGTTGTTGCTGTGCATCTACATCAGCATCCATACGAAAGAAGATTATTCAAATCAGATATAAAGGCCCGTTTTATTCATCCGGGAATACGCTGATAAATAAGAACTTACATTTTGCCGATCGGCTTGAATGAGTAGTAACTTTGTGACACTCCACCACTGCCCATCCTTACGAATGTGTCCCGGCTTGAGTCAGATGTTGGGACTGTGCTCTGGAATATTGAGACTTTAATGGACTAATTTCTCCGTGGTGATAACTTTTTCGTCGTTTGTGCCTTTTGGATTGGTGCCGTTTCTTGATTTGTTCATTCATTTTTCTTTTCTGAGGGTTTGCATTTGCTTGGTATAGTTGCTCCCTATACCAGTGGTTCTTAAACCTTTAATGCGCAGCCTTGCACCCATTTGGTTCTCAATCGTAAACAAATTACAATGTTAAATTTCGATTTAAAGCTTTCGTGACTGCAAGGATTCATCTTCTTTGGTTCTTTCGGTAAAGTCACGTAGAATGAGAATAAAATAATAAATTGATAAAATAATATAACACTAAAATTCTCACAATGTTTCGGCCACAACACAAGCGGCCTTCATCAGGTGAAGGGACGAGACTGTCTGGTAGGACAGCGCTGGAGCGAACAAAGCCACACTCAGACCGCGACCTTTAAGCTGTGTGAGAAGAAACAAAGCGCCTTAACAAAGGAATTAGCATAGAATTTAGCATTGAAATAGCTAAGTGATTAGCTTGTGACTGGTCACAGAAATGGCTATGTTAAAGTCAAAGCATACACATGCACAGGTGTACTCAGCTATTCCAATGCTAAATTCTATGCTAATTCCTTTGTCAAGGCGCTTTGTTTCTTCTCACACAGCTTAAAGGTCGCGGTCTGAGCTTGGCTGTGTTCGCTCCAGCGCTGTCCTCCAGACAGTCTCGTCCCTTCACCTGAAGAAGGCCGCTTGTGTTGTGGCCAAAACGTCGTGAGAATTTTTATTGTTATTTTATTTGATCAATTTATTATTTTATTCTCATTCTACGTGACTTTACCGAAAGAACCAAAGAAGAAAATTACAATGTTAATAAATACATCGGGTTTGATGAAACAAAGGGCATCTCGCACCCTGATTATGAAGAGCTACTGCTCTATACACAATATTATTTGTCCCTTATTTACAATTACATGTGCAGCGTTGTGGGATGCAACTAGCATGAATGTCGCTATATTGCATGAAATTGTTATTATTGTACATTAATGATATATAAGGGCCAAATTATTGTATATAACTACCAAGAAAATGAGAACGCTCAGAAGATAAATACAAAACAACGTGACGGAAAGCTGTAAATGTGTCGGCAGGAGGTCAGTTGACATTTTACAGCAGCTGGGGTTATCGCATTGTCTCTTTTACGAAAGTTCACACCAAAAAACTCAATACGTGATTTGTGTACGATGAAGGGACATTGCCCAAAACGTCGACGATTATGTTTCTATTGTAAGGCCACACGTAGTGTTATTAACGATATGTTTTGAGTTTTTATTATTATTGATGCATACCTGTCAACCCATACCGTTTACCCGTATTCTTGTAAACAGGGATATTGAGTTTTCAAGCCCACATGGCGTACAGCCATTAGGAGGAACGTTGAGATTCATAAGGGCACGGGGTGACCAATAAGGTCTCAATTTGTTTGTAACAGGGTAGGTAGGCACTGATAAGGGGTGTACAGGTATGTTATTTTAACACGTAGGCTTTCGCGACCAATATCACCCATAATAGAGGTTTTTTTGGGTTAGATCGCGTAAACATTAAAAAACTGTTTTATAGAGGAATGTTTACGCTTGTGCCACCACTGCCAACGCAGAATCAACACCAAATCATGGGTCTACGATGGGTGGGTTGGTTTTCGTGTTATTGATTTTTACGACACTTTTTCACGACATCCAGAGCATGCGCGTTACCATCGTCGGTGTACTTTACGGCATCCAGACCCCCCCCCCTCCGCCACAACCTCTTGTTTGTGTGCTTTACGACTCTTTACGTCAATTAATTTAACGCTTTTTTATTTTCCAACGTCTCCTGTGGGAGTACTTAGCGCGCGCGATAACTTGTCGCAACCAAACACGAGAACGTCGACATATTTTCGTGCACGATTATTTATTTCTCTCAAACCGTCGGGCTTCCCCCCCCACGCTTTTACGACAGCTCCCGGGCCAGGAGGGAGAGGGGATGGGAGAGAGAGACACTCGGAGGCTTTACGGCAGAGAGCGTGGGGCGGGGGGGGGATGTGTGGTGGAGCGGTGCATGGTCGAGCCCTCATGCATCGCTCCGCCACCCGCCGCCTTCCCCTCTTGATCGTCAGCGCGCCGCGCTGAGGAAGTGGCCGACAATCGCCGGCGGTGCATTCTGACTCGGCGGTTCACGCGGAAAGGACTTCACGCAAGGACACCGCGTGCAGCGGCTGGGGACATCCTCAGTAGATTTTTCAACGTGGCTGAGGTGCGTACAGCGGTGTATTAATGTTTCTTTAAAACGACTAAGGCTGTAATATTCAAATATGCTCAAAATGTCCCCCCCTCAATATATTGTTATAAAATAGATGTAGTCCCCCCCCGCCAATGTTGACTCCATGGCTACGGCCTTGAAGACGACAATGGTAAATCCGTCTCTTCGTTGTGTAACGCACGTCAAGTTAAATAGCCCTCGCGACTTTTCGCTGCACGTTCAGGTTTTCGCAACGGGGTGGCATGCGATGTAGGGCGATAATGACGAGCCGTGTCGTGACCCGCGTCGACGTGACATTGCGGCGATAGGCGTGTGGGGGTTAAAATGAGCAATCTCGCTCTATTGCATGCACGCACGGTACGTTGAACTTCTTTCGTGCCGTACGGCCCGACCGGGGTGCTCCCCCCCCCCCACCGTCTGTTGTTTACGAGAGAGCTCTCCCTTCTTGACGAAGGGACGCTGTCTGCGCAACAACAACAACAAAAAACCCCACGGGATTTGACAATTCGTGCGATGCAGAAGGGGCATTTCCCGAAACGTCGCCTTATTTTAAATCTTTAGGGCAGCGCTGTTGTCAAATGTGTTGCGTTTTCGTTGTTTACCGCTGCACGCGGCAAAACTGCGTTGCCTTATGCAACCTTTAACCACGCGCGAGTGGCGATAGATATACAACTCCCGCAGGACGTAAGCACAGACATGTAAAAGTCCCTTATTTCAAAGACATCGAGTGATGTGTCAAAGCTGCAAAACCAGCCCGGGTCTGGTGGAAGGTTGCGTCAGGTCGACAGGCACCACCTTTCGTTTTTTTCTAATTTTACGCGACTGTGACTGGAGTTGTCCAAAACCCTCCCGTGACCACATTTAATACACGTACAGTACAATACTACAACTCTACTGTCGTGGACTGTAATTACGCATGCGTGAGTGGGGTGGTGCAGCGAGCATCAGGGTGCAGGGAGCGGTAGCGCAGTGGTCGGCGCACGTGCCACGAACCGAACAACCCAAGTTAAATTCCCGGTCACGGCTAACGTCAGTGGCGTGGGATGACATCCGAACCCGTGCTGCCCTTCCCCCGGCTTCACCAACCCGCACTGACCAGCGTGGTGAAGTATGGTTAAAACATCCCCCGTGGCTGACACGGTTTAGGGAGACCTTTCCGCCTGCTGGTAAGTCACCAGCGAGATGGAAAATATTCAGTGAGAAATGAAGCCCAGCTTACAACGTCTGTACATGTCTCTCTGTCCACGTGTCTCTTTGTTTCTGTGTCCACGTGTATCTGTGTCCACGTGTTTCTCTGTCCGTGTGTCTCTCTGTCTCTGTCCACGTGTCTCACTGTCCGTGTGTTTTTTTTGTGTCCGTATCTCTGTCTCATGTGTGTGTTCACGTGTCGCTCTGTATTCGCGTGTCTCTCTATGTCCTTGTGTTTCTCTGTGTCCAGGTGTCTCTCTGTGTCTACGTGTCTTTCTGTCTGTGCCCGCGTGTCTCTGTGTCCACATGTCTGTCTGTCCATGTGTCAGGGGGTGCAGCGGGCGAATGGGCGATGGTGTTCTTCAGCAGCGCTCTCGGGAGGATTCTCAGTAAAGTTCCCGGAGAGAAGAGGCTGGGTGTCTATCGGTTCCTGCCCGTGTTCTTCGTGATTGGCGGTGCCATGGAGTGGATCATGATTAACATGAGAGTCGGCAGAGAGACCTTCTGTGGGTACCACGCAGGGCTTCATTATTTCTCACTGAAATATTTTCCGGGTGACCGGTAGACTGGAGTTGGTTGCACATGATTAGTATCCACGGCCTGGTAGCCCTGAACAGCGCCTACACTGGAATCGGGACTCGCATGCCACGCGTTTGACTCTTCGTTTGACCCTTCGTTTGACCCCGGCGTCCCATTATTTACCTCTGACACCGCATGCTCACCATCGAGTGCGACTAACCGCACGCGACGGCGCGCTGTTTCTTTCAGACGACGTCTACAGACGCAAGCAGTCGGAGCGCCGTTACCAGCAGCGCCTCGCCGAGACCTCGCAGTCCAGCGGTTCCAACTAAGAGTCTCGCCTTTCTCGAACAGACGATCGACTCGGTCACCACCCCACACGTCACTCCGTCTCCTCCCCCCCTTCCCGCCGTTGTTGCTGCCGCCGCTGCCACCACAACCGACTTGCGCTGCTTGCGTAGAAGCTACGGGCGCAAAGAACTGACGGCTCGCACTGGGCCGTGCGTGAGACTTTCGGAGCGAGGTTGTTGACAATGCCGGCGGGCGTGACGTGGCCGCGCTATCTCAAGATGCTGACCGCGAGTCTCCTGTCAATGCTGGCAGGAGCGGAGGTGGTTCACCGCTACTACCGGCCAGACCTGGTACGTGGACTTTTTTTCTTTCGTTCTCAGGAGTCCGGCTCGGGGATATAAAATGTTCACGTTATAAGCCATTTCATTGAGCTATCATATGTGATAACCAGGTCGCTTCTGAAAAAGAGCTAAATTACTCATTGGGCCTTACCTAGTAAAAAAAAATCCCACTGAGTGTTTTCCGGGTCTCTGGTTAAACCCAAGAAGGTGACTCGCAGTAGCCGCAACCATAGCGAAGGAGGTATACTTGATGTGGTGTGTTGGGTGCAGAAATACAGGACCCCAAGAGACGCTGCTACCCGTAGTGTATCTGTGTGGATATCCGGTGTTAATTGCCATGTAAGAGTGGGTAAGAGGATATTTCGATAGTACCACCCCAACAGGGATAAAGAGGGGTTTCCACCGCATTGCTGTTGTTCACTGTTGCGGTTTCCCTCCCACACAGAGCATCCCTGAGGTTCCGCCAGCGCCGGGGCAACTGCAGACGCGGCTGTTGGGCATCGAGGGCACAACGGGGACACCACTCAGTGGCACCAGGGCTGCGGAGGAGGAACGCAGCCATCCCTCGTGACGGCGTCCACTCCCTCAACCTCGAGCACGTGCACGTGCACGAGTTAACGCACACACGAACATGCACAGGAGGCACAGCACATGCACAGAATGTTATACCTCCTTCACGATGGTGAATCAAAAACGATAAGACTTTTTATTTTACCAGGTAAGGCCCACCGAGCCATCTAGCTCTTTTTCAGAAGCGACCTGGCCACAATGACAGCTCATTGTAGTGGCTCATCATGTGGACATATATAGTAGCCAAATACTATAAACGCCATGTTTCTAAATGTGGAGGGAAAAACCGGAGGACCCAGAGAAAAATCCACATGACCATAGGGAGAGAGACGCGCAAACTCCAAATAAACAGGCGTCAGGGTCAGGATCAAACCCACGACCTCCTGTATACCAGGTAAGATAGTTAACATCTCACCACCGTGGCACCCACTGTTATGGTGGCCCACATGACAGCTGTATTGGCTACCCCCCCCATCCGATCAGTACTGAAGCTGGAGCCGATGCACTTCAACATGCATGCACACACACGCTTGTCGTTTTGTACCGGTTTTGCGTCGCCTTTGAAGTTTGTGATTTTGTTGTCACTGCGATTTAGTGACAACTGTGACGATGTTTAAATAATGCCTTGATTAAAAGTTAAACACCGGAGCAGTCTCAGCTTATTGCCTTGATCGACATTCCTGTTTCTGTAAGAATGTCATTCGGTAATCCAGAAAAGTCTCACTGAGTCTTAAGACTCATTTTCAAGAGTCCTGAAAAGAAGATATTTGGGACATTGGGCACAGTGCGATGATACCTTTAACCTTAACTATATTTTAAAAGGGCTGTACATGTACACCATTTGGCATATACAAATTACTTGTGTTTACCCAAGAAATATTCACTTTCTCAATACTTTTTCAGGCGTTTTTTTCACCAGTGGGTGATGCTGCTGTGTGATCTCAGGTGAGTAATTTGCAGCCAATTCTTCAGCATTGGGATGTTTGGCTGATGCCAATTATATTGATCTTAACTCTGGGAGGAAACCAGAGAACTTTGAGGAAAGCCATGCGGAACATGGGGAGAACATACAAAATCCACACAAACGCACCCTAGTCGGGAATCGAACTTAGGGACCTTTTTGCAGTCACAAATAACACCCCTGCACCACCCTGCCACCAATATTTTTACTCAAATAGGTTACAGGCAAAAGTTAATCACATTTTAGAGGTGGCTTGGTAACTCGGTGATCAGAGCTGAGCACTGCTGAGATCCTGGATTTAATTTGTTTTAAAACTGCCCTTGATTAACCTGGGTTCTCAGTGTAGTAGGATGGTCTCAACCAGGGTTTCCAGATTTGAAATGTGCTGAGTCGTGAGTCGAACCTTGGAACTTTTTTGCTGTGACACATGTTATCACTTCACCATGTCACCCAAATGCAAATCAGTGTAAAGAGCTGTTGATTGCAGAGATAGATGGGAGGTGAACAAAGAGGTGATAAGGATATTGATAGCATAGAGCAGTGGTGGCCAACTCGTGTCCTCTTAGCCGCATGCGGCTCTTTAATTTACCACATCCGGCTCTATCGAAGGGGCATAATGTAGAACGGTCCTATCACAGTGACTGGCTCCCATCCTGTACCAAAAGCTGTCAATATATTTGGCCATATACACTTAGCTCTTTGCAGAACTCATGCGTACTTTTGGTTATTGGTCCGTTACAGGTTGGCCCACCGCTGGCCTAGATAAATTAAGCAATCAGAATAGAATGCTTTAGGAGGACCGACAACCTTCATTGGAGAGAAAGTCTGACGAATGGGTTATTCATATGGTTTCCTGAAGCTGCCATTTAACACCACATTTAGCACACGATCTGTTGGATTTACAGTAACGTGGGTTTAGACAGCCCGGAAAATGAGCGGGGTTGAGCCTGGATAGTGCTTCGATAGGCATATGTCATGTACACGGAAAGTTGCTGTAGGCCTCAAGGATGTTGTAGCCAGCAGATGGAAGTGCAAAACAATTTTAGGGTACGTTGGCTGTCGCCTGATGCTGGTTGTAATTACTGGCGAAACGTCACTCGAATTTTAAATGGTTTACTCTGGTGTGCTGTACTACTAACGAATTGGCACGTTTTGTTTACGTGACAAACCTAATTGGCTGTCGGGTGGTGGCAGGGTTTAACGATACATATTTACACCATCAAACCCAAAAAAAACCTCCATTATGAATGTCGGTCGTCAAAGCCTTCGTGTTAAAAGACATGTTTTTCTACCTTCAACCCAGCCTGGTGAAATATGGTAAAATAACCAGCAATGACCCACGTGCCTAGATAAACCTGAATATAGCACTGGATTGACAGCACGCATGTGTATTTTAGTTACAGCATCAAGATACCGCTAAAAAGGGGAAACGTTGGCTTTATGCCACAGCCCACAAGGGAGAATAGGATAAAGGTGCAGCAGGTGGTAATGCCTAACAATGGCAGCTACGAGAACCCACCCCAAACGGAATCTGCTCATATGCAGGACCTTGCGATGGCAACAGCTTTGCAAGGCCTTCATCCAGCAGTGGATATTTAGTTTAAACAGGTGACAACTCAGAGACCAGGATAGTCTAATTTCCAAGAGCGACCTGGGGCATTAATGTGCCAATAGAGAGGGGGGGGGCAACAATTGCTCTAATCCCAGAAGTATTTTGAAGCCTATAAAGACAAACCATTGATTTGAAAACCCAGCCATTAAGCAGAGCTCCCGATCCTGAAATTGAACACGATGCAACATTCGCAGCCACGTCGGCATTTTCCGATTGCCATTGACCAGGAATGTTGCGGTCGGCAATTAAACGTGTACGTGGCACGTTAAAATCGATCTCTAACTACCCCAAAGTGCCGTTCTGTAAAAAAAAAAAACCTTTGAGTACACGTGTGCGGTTATGAGACACCTGCCGAGTTGTTTACCCTGGACAGCCTGAGTAGTCTCTTGCACAAGGTCCTGCTTGGGATGTTTGCTCAGTTCAAGGAATCCCCCCCCCCCTCTGTGTAGGCAGCAAAGTGTTCCAATTAACCCAGGACGAGTTACCGTTCAACTAGGCCAAACATGGACTGTGGCATCACAGGACCTTGCCGGATGAAGGGATGGGAGAGGCCTCCATACTGAAGTGATAGAATGTGGTCGATTGCCGAATTGTAAACGGTTCTTTGTATTTCAGGTGTTCGCTTTACTTACCATTTCAACTGCGCATGCTTTTGGATAAAGGTCTTGCATTTGCTTTGTAAACCCGTCTCTTAAAATGGCTGTTTCCATAGAATCTTGTCTGCTTATTAAATAAAGTTTGGTTTTTAATTTTACATCTTGTAAAGTCCCAAACAAAAAGATTGCCATTAAAATACTTACAACAAGTCACAGAGCAGACAGTGAATGACATTTTTATTAAAAAGTCAAAACAATTTCTTGCGACAGGGAATGGCATGACACCCCAAATAATATACACGCACACGCACGCACACAGCAGACGTGTCGACCCCAGACCGCTCAAGGCCCACACCTATTCTGTACAACCAGACAATTCAGGTGGAAGCAACAAGGGTTTGAAAATTAGCCCCTCAGCCCCACCTCCACTGATCCCCCCCAATCGACTCCCACCCACACCCCCCTGTGGTGCCAGTGTGGGGCTCAGAGTTCATCTTTTTCAGCTTCTGCTTTTTCCGAATCCTGCAAGACACGGGTGAAAAAGGAAACCATTGGAATCAACAAAACATTATTTTTGTGAATTACTGTGTAGGTGTACATAGGTTGATGCGAGCACACACACACACACCTTGTATGTGCAAATGTTCACATGTAGAGTATATATTCGTCAATAACATTGCCTGAAAGCAGGGGTGGGGGAAGCTTTTTTCTGACAAGAACCATTTGGATATTTATAACATCATTCACGGGCCACACAATTATCAACTTAAAAATTAGCCTGTTATATTTGGTCAAACATTTAACTCACCCCAACTGTGATGGCTGAAACAGACCAAATGATTTTGCGGGCCTTACACGGCCCATAGGCCGGACGTTACCCACCCCTGCCTTAAAGGGACGAACGAGTGGCAGTAGCTGCAATTTAGTAGAATGCGATTTCCTATTTAATAAGACTTCCTGGTGAAATGAGCATGAAGGTGGTGCACGCGCACATCTGTTTACAGCCATGAGCCAGTGGTGGATTCCACTATGCTATGGCAGAGGGGCTAGTAACACAATCGCCGTTTCACTTGCATATAAAGTGGTACTCGTTTAATCACTATGTAGAACTTATTTTGCATTGTACAGAGCCAACCGCGTCAATTAGAGGTGCAGGGGAGGGGAACTAAACACAAAAGGCAGTTCTAAAGAAATACTTTTCGGATGATAGACCCGCTAAACCCTTACCAAGGATTTTTTTAAATAGATACATTGATCCTCTAATATCCTTCATTGCTCTTCCGTCAGACCAGCTAAATATCAGCGAATCCAAAAGCTTTCGCCAGAGATGAGTAATGGTCTCAATGCCCCGTGATCACCAGTACCACTTACTGTAGCATCCTCATCAGCAGCCTTCTTGTCTTGACTCCCAACGTCAACATCCACCACCTCTTCATCATCAGCATCGTCATCGTCGGCATCCTGGTCCTCGCTCGCCTCCTCAGCCACGTCCTCCGGCTCCTCATCAACCTTGACGAAGAAATGGAAGGATGGTTCATCGTCATTACTGGGTTCATAGAGCTACAAGCCCAGCAACCCCAAGTTGTATTCCTTGCCATGGCAAAAATCATTGGCTACCAGAATCAGATAGAGGTTTCAATCACGGCCAGCTTAAACCGTTAACTGGATTTTCAGTGGTACTGGCTCCATGCGCAAACCCCCTGGGGGAGAGACATATCGAAGGCATCTCGTTGTAAAAAAATATATTTTAACGTTCACTTGACGTCCGCATGTTATTTGATATTATCTACCAACATAAAAACCTGATGTACGTGTTAGATTACAACAGTTAATTAACATACCCCATCGTTATCTTAAAAACTGAAAATGTACAAAATAGCAGCAAGTCGCATACACCCTCGAGGCCCACTATACTAACGGTCAAATGCGGCGTCTCCAACCTGCATATGCACTCTAACCCACGCCTATACCCTTCGCGTGCAATTTCAAGTATGCACATGTCTCTCGGCCTTCTCTGCACAACTTTCCAGCGTCGGTTTTATTTTCGTCAGCAGCCTCGTTATTCAATCCATGCCACAAGCAGGTAACACACACACACACACACACGCTCACCGATCAACTTACAAAGGGAGAGTTACGTTTTGAAGGCAGACAGACGCAAGAGACTCGCCCCTCCGGTGCTAACCAACCGCCGCGACGGACGAGCGCAACGCGCCGCGACGCACCTTGGCCTCGAGGTCGATGTTGAGACTGACACGCAGCATGCGCTCAATGCGGTCGCTGAAGGAGCGCGTGTCCTGCAGGAGGTAGCCGGAGCGAAGCGTCGCCGTCTCAAACAGCACCAGCGCCAGGTCCTTGGCCGTCGCGTCCTCCTCGCTCGCCTGCAGGCACGGCAAGGGGACGAGTGGAGATAAAGACATCGAAACTTCACAACCAACCGTGTCGCCACACCCTCCTGGTAACATCCCACTCACGAT